TGGCTGGCGGGCTTAAGTGATTTCTATTCTCATTAGAGCTACAATGCTCGTATAGACGCTCTGCAAGCTGCAATGGCTGATCCAATTAAAATATTAAGATCTTAAAGCTGTATACTAAGTAGATATAGACTATGGTTTTAAGAGCACCAGCCATTGCATCGCGGAAGCATGTATCGAGTTACCAACCTCTCTATACCAATTTGAGCAAAAGCTCATATTTTACTTAAAACAAGTTACAAGGCATGTTTGTGTTGAGTTAACCATCATAAAAAGAAGTAAATATAAACACCAAGTAGTATATAGGATCGTCATGTTGCACTTGAAATATCAGAAAAATGTTGTTATCAGTTTATGGACAAAGATGTCTTCAATTGGTTCAAATAAAAACTAACAATGTCTGAATTTAAAAGTCTATGATGTGATGTTATTCTCTATCTGTCTTTTCTTTCTTTATGTCTTTTTTATTTTTTCTTCCTTGTCTCCCGTTTATTTAAGCAGTTCTATCTTGATGCCTCCTTTTCCTTTTTCTTTTGTTATCTTTGCTTCTTTTTTCTTCCTCCTTTTGTCGTTTACATCATATTCGTTTGTCCATAAGTTAGTAACCCCGATAACGATCGGTTACACACATGCACCAAGAAAGAGGTAGCAGTAAAATAAGCTCTTTTTTTTCATATTGAACTTCTTTAAAAGAATATGTGTTGATCTGCAGGTTTATGCACTGTACATCATTTAATATATTTGATAATAAGGAGTGCCCGTGTACTCTTGTAAGATCCTTTATAAGCATATCTGAGTTACATCTTCCTCCTTTTCTATTCCCTCTCCCCGCACTTTCTCTATTGGGTTCCAAGAAATTCCCAATTGCTATTTTTTTTCTTGATCTTAAGCAACGCTCCTTTAAAAGCATAAACAACGTGACGTTGTGATGAAATACATGGTAGAATAAAACATAAAGAGAATATCAAATGCTTAATTAACCATAATGTTCGATTCCTTCCCTTATCGTTACCATTGTTACCATTACTCCACTTTGTTCTTTAATGATCATACAAGTCAGATCATTTACTAAGCGTACAAGATGGTTTAAGCTTTTATGAATAGAAGAATTATCAAGGTTATCTATATCCCTGTTTCCCTCTCCCTCCCTCTCTCTCTCTATCTCTCTATTCCTCTTTCTTTTTCTTACTACTTATGACCACGATTAAGGATAATCCCCGACGAGAAACAAGAAATATCAGGCAACTTCATTAGTTGAGTCTACTGATGTTAGTAATCGGCTTATATTCAAATCGGCGCGAATTTTGACATTTTGTGTACACAATAACAACTTATTTCATTGGTACCTTTCATGCCAAAGTATGAAAACGTAACACGCTGCATTTTGTAAAAAAGAATACTCATCATGACTAAAGAGGAAAAAGAGCAATTGGAATACTAAAAAGACATGTTGAATTACATTGCTATTCTTGGACTTAGAGTAAGGGTCTCACATTGAATCGAGATCGAAAGAAAAGGAGATAGTTTAAACGTGATGATCCATTAATCCTCATCATAGATTTTGAATACTTTACTGTTGTCTTTTTAAATAAGACTCGACTTTAATAAGAATAGGCTTTTTTTTTTTGTGGTCTTCATATGAGCTCCGAGGCCAAATGTACGCAGACACAAATAATAATAAAAAATATAGAAAAGTGGAGAATCGTTTGACCGCTCTTTCTTTCTTTTCTTTTCCCTTTTTTTCAGTAACAATCTTTCCTTTCCTTTTATTTTCAGACAACTGTTGCTTTTTTTTTTTCTCTCTTTCCATAAAGATCCTCTCATTCGATTCACACATTTTTGTAATTTAATGCTATAATGAGCCCAGACACAAAACTTATTGCAAGCTTAGTGAATCGTATACTTGTTAGGGTACATAATACAACTTGTAAAAAGGACAACATGGAATTGATTTAATTATGTAGTTGCCTAGCAATAGTGGAAAGAAGTTGGATGCGTTAGAAAATGATCCTATAGTCAATCAAACGTGAGTTGTGAATAATGTTGATAAATGTATTCTAACCTTTATTATTCATAATTTACATCGTCATTCATCACTTTCAGAGGTAATAATAATAATAACCTCTTTTAAATCCATTCACTCATATCTTGTAGTTGCTGCCCTGATTGAATTATCAAAGTTTAGATTACCGACAGTGACAATTACTCTATTGAATCTATTAGATGGAATCAAGGTATTTTATCCTTATTATCATTATTGTCCCAATATTTATCTCGAGAACATATATATATAGATGGCTTCCAATGAAGACCATGTTCCTCAAGAAAATTTACAATCACAGCTATTTGTCTTACGATTACTCTCAGCTTGTATGCAACATCACTGGCAGTATATGAAAGATTTAAAATATGAAAGTAGTTCTGGGAGAGCATATTCTGTAAAAAATGGTTATGAAGGATCAGTTCACAGTTTTGATAGTGCCACTCATAACAGCAGCAGTCGATGGTCTCTGAACGAGGGCCCTTTGCCTCTCGAAATGGATGATCCACCCCCTTTTGAGGATGCACTTGCAAAGTCTATCATGAACGTCATGTCCCGTATTATGCATCAAACGACCATTTTGGAAGAGAAAGAGTATGGTCAAGCAACAAATCATGTCACTCAAATAACACGTACCGAATACTATACACCAAGTAATATTGCAAGAACATCAGCAGATATTGTGTTGGATATCTATAAAGCGTCGAGCAAAGTCATCACCTACTTGAGTGCTAGTAATTGGAACATTGTATTCTCAAAGATTAAAGCACGTATACTCTACCTTTCAACCACAAGTGATGAAAATCCCGAGACATCCGATATGAGACTATTAGAATGTTGTTCTCTCAACTCAAAGCGCTTGGCTACTGTCTTGTCAGGTAAAATAAGAGATTAATCTTTATGACAAGTCATTAAGCTATCTTTCTATAGAGTTTTGCAATAACTTTATACATTTAAAAAAGTCGACACAATTAATCGTAGCAGCTATCTTACGTAGAGCTATCTGGGGATGGATCGAGACTTATCCAAGCGAGTTTATGCAGCTATGTCAGAGCCAAAAGAGACTAGAGGGTGGACCAGACGTGTTGTTCGAGACTTGTTTATCATTAGCAGATACGACCAGAAAGAAGGCAATTCTATGGCCATTACAGACAATGCTCTTGGTGTTGTGTCCAGATATCTTATGTTCATTAGATACCCCTGACACAGGAAGATCGATCAACTCAAAAAAGGCTCTATTTTTATCAGCACTTAAATCTTCACTAAAGTCAGGACGTATGGCAGAATTGGCCGCTATATGCTATGTGGATATCTGTAAGGCTGCAACTTATGTATCCAAGATAGACTCCTCTGCTCTTCGTCATATCGTACCTGATATTGAACATGAGCTGAGAACACAACTGTTTGATCCAGATAAACCCCTGATTGCAGATAGTTTAATGAGCGGACTTGGTATTATCATTGACCATCGCACACTCTTGGCTGATTGTTTGGTGGCCATGTTCCGACTGAATCCACGAAATGCATTACGCAACCTATTTCCTTCATGTTTAGATAACCGTGCGCCTACTCTGTTTAAAATCAGTTTAGTCAAGGCATGCTTAGTTATCGCATCTGAAGAAAACAAGCTCCCTTGGAACCCTTCGATTGCCACACTATATGATTCACTGGCTGGTCCGCTTAGAAAGTTATTTATTGAATTTGCAAGCAAAGGCTTTTCCAAGCTTGAAATGAATAACGCTATGACAACATCCAACAGTAGAAAACAAAACATTATAAACGCCAATGATAAAAAATTCAAAAAAGAAAACACTGTTCGTGTGGATCAGAACAATGAAAGACTAGAGCTCATCCTGGACATGCTCCGTTTGTATCAAACAGATCCTAAGCTAGCCATTCGAGTAAGTAGACATACTGCTATCCTTCATATTAAGCTCATTTATGTGTGTTTAAATAGGGTGATAATGAGGATCGGTTAAAGCAGAATGCAATGGCAATGGTTGCCATCGCAAACTGTCTTCGTGAGCAGGATCAGTATGTCAGGGATGCAGCCGCTATGTGTTTATTCAAGCTGCACTCTCCAGACTATATTCTCGAATGGGGATCATCACCCAATTTTATGGAATCATTCTGGAAGATCTCTTCTCAGGTTGTGCTGACACTCGCTAAACAGCTGCTAGATACAAGAGAACGAGATGATGGCATAAAACGTTTGTTGGAATTACTAAAGAAGCTGTTTGAATCCAGAAATGAGTTTTTAAGAATGCACCAGGTAAAAACAAAGAAAAAAAATTTTGCAATATGCTTATTCATTTCATGATAGGATGTCTCTATGCAAGGATCAGATGCAAAAGAACGACTCCAAGCATCTATTGGTCTTGAGGTTGCACTCTTGGTCTTATTGTGCTCTTCTGATATAGAAATCTGTTCTTCTGCGATCACTTGCTTTGGACATATCTGTGAAGAAACTCAGTTGACTGACTGCATAGATGATCCTCATCAAGCTGTGTTAATGGTCGTAGAAAACTTGCCTATCTACCACGAACTTTCCTCCAATAATAGTATTGTTACCGGTCGCAAATCTCAACAGAAGCAAATTCGCCGCTTACTACGAATGATGACCCACTATGCGCCAGGCAATCTTGCTGCGTGGGAGGAAGTCTACAAGCGATGGAAATATATGATACCTGCTATGACAAAGCCTTATGAAGAATCCAAGGACGAAGCCCTAGAATTATCACCACATCCATACAACGTGAAAAGGAATGCTCCAACAGCTTGGCACGACAAACTACGAAATCCAACGGCTTCGAGTCGACAAATGAATAATCATGCCTCGAACAGCAGGACGGATCCTTCACCCAGCAACGTCACGACGGTTATTTTAGACGACGACAAATCATCTGAATGGCAAAACTATGCAGGTTTCCTTGCTGCCCTTGGTGGCATTTGCCTCATGGCGGACGTTGGACCATCTACACCGACATCACCTTCAGGTACACGTTCTGCATTTGGCGATAACATGACTGTCAGACGCGTCTCGGCACCAAGCGAATCATCAGCGATGGTTAACAGGTTTGTTGTGGATATGGTTGATTTGTTATTATGTGATAATATCATGATTCGAGAATGGGTCAAGGAAATTCTCGGCACAGATCTATCACCAGCTCTTTATTCAGTCCTCTTCAGATACATGGAAACAGTACTCTCGAAATACTTTGGACCTGACGGCGACCCTATCTGTAGTGCGAGCAACACATTATTTGTCGAACAGGCTATCAGTGTCCTGAAGCTCATCTTGGATCGTATGGAAGGAAGCTATGAGAATTTGTTGACAGTGGACTTTAGTGGCTTAATTGATCAATATGCAAAGTATTTGAATAAATTGGGAAATAGTCAATCTGCCTTGAAGATAAAGATTAAGTTTTGTCAGCTTGTTGAAGTGTTGATGATGAAGAAGGATAAAATCACCTTACGACAAGAATTCAGGCTGCGTAACAAGTTACTGGAGATCATTGTAGAATGGACAAGCGATTTTTCTTTGGTAAGATGATAAGTAAGCCCTCTTTTTATAGCGCAGGTTATCTTTTCTAACACATTTTAGAAACCTGATTTATCATCTCAATACTCTAGTTTTGAATCAGCACAAGGCGAAAAGCTACATAGAGAACTCGATCTAGCATGTTTGAACACCATTGTTGGTTTACTTCATCAACTTCCTCTTCAATCTCCCGACCCGGTTCATGATGTTGACTCAACACCTGTGAAGAGCAGAATCTTTTTCAAATACTTTACCTTCTTTCTCAAGCTACTTAATCGATGCAGAGATTCCGAGACGGCCACTGAAGGAGATACACTTAGCCGTCGACCTTACACAGAACAGACCAATATGAAGAGTAAAGGAAGCATGTCGACTTACTTGGCTCCACTAAAAGAAAGCACCATCTTGGCCATGTCAAATCTTTTAAGTGCCAATGTTGATGCTGGTCTAAAGTATTCACTATCCATGGGTTACCACGATGACCCACAGATGCGTACGGCATTTATGAAGGTGTTGACAAATATCTTGAATCAAGGAACCGAGTTTGAAACTTTGGCCGAAACTGTCATGACAGATCGATATGAAAAAGTGGTTGATGTAAGCTATATCACAATTTGAAAGGGTTTACCCCTTTGAACTCATTTTGTTGCTTTAGATGTTTGTAAGCATGGATTTAAACATCGCTCTATCTCTCTGTGACGTTTGCCCTGCTTCGGATATTGAAGATGCAGCAAATGCTCTTTTGGCCTGTTTTGCATCCAGAGGGAAAACACTGGATCTCTTAAAGGCCGTGATTCGCAAAGAGGTTGAAAACACAGGTAGATTTGAGTTCATCAAAAAAGCATAGACCCCAAATATTAACCTATTTTTCTTTAATCCCTTAGATAGCGAAACAGAATTATTAAGAAGAACAAGTATAGCGACTCGACTGTTATCTGTCTTTGCCAGACATAATGGTGCGGATTATGTCAGATCAGTACTTCAGCCTGTTTTTACCAAACTTGCAGAAAAGCCTCCAGAAGAGAGAACATTTGAATTGGACTCATCAAAAGTTGGCAGTGGAGAGGATGTGTCGCGAAATAAGCAAAATGTCATTAATGCGACTGAAATGTTTTTGAATGCCATCTGTGAATCTGCAAACGAGGCGCCCAGGTAAAGTCTAGATAAGATTTGTTACTGTTTTTCGCCAACATGGTTCCCCTTCTTAGATCTTTTCGAGAGGTTTGTCATTGCATCCTTACGTCTGTACGAGAACGTTATCCTGAAGCAATGTATACTGCAGTTGGTGCCTTTATCTTCTTACGATTCTTCTGCCCTGCTATCGTTTCCCCTGAATCCGAAGGTTTGATCAAGATAAACACTGTGATATCTCGCGAGATGAAGCGTGGTCATTTGATTGCTACCAAGGTCATTCAGAATCTGGCCAATAACGTCTTGTTTGGTGCAAAAGAGACATACATGATTGTCCTGAATGACTTTTTGACCAACAACATTTACAAAGTAACAAATTTTTTGAGAGAGATATCAGAGGTACCGCCACCTGCTACGACCGTCTTACCCGATGGCAGAACTATTGTGGAGGATATAAGACCTGAAGTTCGTCCTATGGAGCAAAAGGATTATAACTGTTTGCACCGTGTACTGTTTGATAATATGGAGCGTATCTCTAGGGAAATTGCAGCACGTCGTATTCGTCAGCATCTAGATCCTGAACGCGCAGCTGCATATAAGCAAGGGTTTGACAAGTTTTCAAATTTAATGGCTCAGTTGGGTCGTCCTCCCGAAACAACCAAGCCAGAGTTCAGCGGCCTAAGAAGTTATACATTTGCTGCAGCAAACCAACTCTATGCTGAATTTATGCGACGCAACAGTCATCGAAGTGTAGAACCTATTGTATCCAAGAACATTTTCTATGAAGGTGGGGTTTCCAAAGCCAATAGACCTGTCTTTTACTATATCAGTCGTCATGTGCTTGCAGACTCTATTGATTTTGAATTGCTTACTTATCACATATTGCAGGTAAGTTTTTGAACGCATGTGGATAGTATACAATGGATTAACGTTTCCTAGACTTTGGAAAGAGCATCCAATAAGAACTTTGAATTAGTGTTTGATTGTACCTTGTTCTCTCAGGCTAATGAAATTCCCAATCAATACATTATTCAGCTTGTTCAGTTATTGCCATTTGATGCATGCGATAACATTGCCAACATCGTTTTTTACAACCCCAACTCTCATTTGCGCAAGTTTATGAAAAAGTTCCCTCGTCCTATATCACATAAGCTAGCCAAACGCTTCAACTTTGCTGTTACCTTGGCGGAAATATACGATTACATTAGTCCAAATGAACTTCGTTTACCAAAGACGACTAGTAAGAAAACGACAGAAAATATATAGCAGTATTAACACATACTTTATAGCTTCACTAGATACTGATCAATGTCATGTATTTCATCCTGCCAGTAGAATGACACAGAATAAGGTCAATATTCCTGTTACGATCAAAGTAAGCGCCGAGTATGTTCAAGCCATGACTGTTCGCAAACAAGAGTTTATCTACAATGTAACTACGGTTCTTAATGACGTCTATATGGTTTCGGATATTGAAGACATCACTGTTGTGCCAAATTCTCGAAGTCAAGAAATTGTAAATGAATTTCATTTCAAGTACAACAAGGGCAAGACTCAGCATGTGTTTACTTCAATGAAACGCGATGCTATCGTGAATGTAAGAGTATCAAAACGGTCATCACACATGTATCTAACTGTATTTTAGCATATTCGTCACAACAAGCGACGACTGGAAATGACAAAACCAAATAATATATCCGAAAGAACCATTCGACCTAACGATGTGCCTGGAAGATTACTGAATATGGCCTTGCTGAACATTGGTAGTGATGATCCAAACCTTAGACTTGCTGCTTACAACTTGCTATGTGCTCTAAGTATAACATTCCACTTTGATCTCAACAATCAGTTATTGGATGCAAAAGGTAGTACTGTGTAATATAATGCAATCCTTTTCTAATTGTTCCTTTTTGTTAGACTTGTGCTTGCCTGCAAACAGTACAGCATTTGTTGTGGCCATCAGTGAAAGGATTGCAGAAAATCAGCCTAATCTCACCTTGGAGTTTCTGAGTGAATGCTTTATTGGCTTCCAAAAATCCAGCGAGCCCCTACGATACCTATGCTTGGACTATATGACGCCTTGGCTACCTAACCTCTCACGATTCTGTCACAGCAATATAGAAGATAAAGAGACAGTGAAAACAAAGGAAGTCCTTCGTAACCTGATTGATCTCACTGTAGCCCGTACTGAAGTAAGTGTGAGTTTTTTTTTTGATGATTTCATTATTAATCACCATGTAGATGTACAAGCTTATACAAGCAAAGATATGGAAGACAATCGGACAGATTGATGACATATTGAACCTTGTCCTGGATTCCTTTGTTCAATTTTCAATTGAACACGGTGTAGGTTCATCACAAGCAGAAGCCATGGCTGATACATTTGTTACTCTTTCCAACATTGCCGTACGCGGTAAAGTCATTTCTCGGTTGCGAAAGGTCTTACAAAAGACATCGTTCAAGCCAACCAGAGCCTTAACTGATCATTGGACTTGGAATGAAATTGCAATCCTTATTCGATTTGTTCTGATGTTATCATTCAACAACCGAGGACCTGTAAAGAGCTATGTACCCGAAATTTTTCATATCGTTTCTCTCATCGTTGGTGTGGGCCCTACGCTTATCAGGGCTTCAATCCATGGCCTGATTGTGAATATGATCCAATCATTATGTACATGCATGCCTCTTCAAGAAGCTAATATCAAGAAGCTTCAGCTGATACTTAATGAAATATCTGATACCAAGTATAGACTTCTATTTGGCTTATTTAAGCCTCATGCAAACGCATTTACAATCACGCCAGAAACACTGACAGACGCAGCTGAGCCTATATCACTACATGCTTTGGAAACAATTGTGAGCAATCTGCTTGAAGTCATCGCTTATAGTGCGCCTTCTCAAGGTAAGCTATGAAAACACAATCCAACTCTCAATTCTAACAGCTTTCTTTAAACAGATATGGCTAATGCATGGCGTGCTAGATGGATGAGTTTAGTTGCAAGCACTGCTTTCCAATTTAATCCAGCAATACAACCACAGGCCTTTGTTGTATTAGGCTGTCTAGGGCGTGAAGAAACAGATGATGATTTGTTATATCAAATCTTAGTCGCCTTACGTGGTGCGCTGGCTATATTTAACGAAGCTGATCCTAACCTGGTTCTAAGCATCATGATGTGCCTTAAAAACATTGTCGAAAGTTTACCACCAGATTCAAGGTACTTGCTTGCTCTCTTTTGGGTTGCAGTCGCGCTTGTAGAAATCAACAATGGCCCCATCTTCACAATGGCTATCGAACTTATACTTGCCGTACTGCGCGCACTGGATACAGCCGGCTATTTCACTGGCGAATCTGTTGTTGAAGTCCTGCTGTCAGCTCGAGAACCCATGGTCAATGTTTCTAGGAAACTCGATCAGCTCTGTGGTGTTAATTTCGAATCGCACTTTTCATTTGCTATTGCCAGCATCTTCTTAAAGGGCTTACGCTATAACAACGGAAAGGAAATTGTTTTCCAAGGATTAACCACCTTTTTGGATATTGAATGCAAGCATAGTGATAGCACCAACACGATCGATCCACATCACTTGGGCTACCTTGCTGGAATCTTACCACTTGCAGCCAAGAATGAGACACTCAAGGAAGTGTTACGGCTTACTGGCTTACTTGATCCAAGCTTTGAATTGGACGACGAGGATGAAGAGGATAACCCTGAAGCTTATGCTTACAGTTACTCCTGTATCTTTGACAGACTCGATGTAACGGATGAAACTACAGCCCTGTTGTTTGTATCCATGCTTGTTGCTCAGCTGCAAGTGACAGATAGCAATAATGAAAAGCTCTTCTTATACCATCTTTTGGCCGAAGCTGCTAGCTCAATGCCTGCTGTATTCTCTACTGTGTATGACTCACTTCTTCCCAAAATGAATCAGGTAGTATTGAACAGCACGAACCAGTCGATAATTGAATCTGTAAAATCGATTCTGTTGACAGCATGCTCTGATCCAAGCTTCAGCGATGCATCCAGAAAGAACCATCCTACTCAGAAATCTCTATTGGAAAGTGTAGGATTTCCTGCTTTGGCAGATCCTTCGTTTGGAGCATCATCAGCAAATGTATTACAGAATGCTAAGCTAGCAAGTGAGATCATCGAGTTAATCATTGCCTAATTTCTTTTTTGTAACCTTTTTCCTAATAATTTATCCAATGTATACTCCTATTTATACATTTATATATACACTATATATCAATTTATATATATATATACACCCCCTTTCTTATATTCGATTTTATATGAACGTCAAGTTAATTATATGTTCTTAATAATAACTTTATAATAAAAAGTCGATTCAATTCGCATCAAAACAATAAAGGCCTATTTTATTACCATATTCTACATTTTGCTTTATGTGGATTCATTTTACTGCCTATTGGGCATTTGAATACTTTTGAAAAGTCTGCATTATTGCGAAATAGAATATTCACTCTAATTGAATCTGGAGCATGTTCATCGTAAATCTATATAATAAAAAAGGGAGGATTAGATATGTACTCATAGGGATGTATTATGTATTACCGAGTTCTTTTGTGCATCAACACTGGTCTTGCTACAAAACGAGCGGGCAGCATTGATAAAGAAGAGCGCATCTGAAGAGAAATAATGTAAGCCAGGCAAAACTGGGTTATAACCTTTTCCACTGTCTTTTAGCGTAAGGAAAGCATCATAAGCAGCCGCCAACCCTTCATGATCTGCTATGCTTTCTCCAAGTGTTTGCTGTATATGAATAAGATGAGTATTATGATGACATGATTAACTTATACTTTACAGTTCCGTCTATAAAGTAGTTTTTACCGTGCTTATCAGTAACTGAGACGTTGGAGTATTGTTTTACAAAGCAGTTGGCCTTTTCTGCATATTTAACCTTGGTTGCGTTTGACCACCAGTCTCGTTCGGCTCCATATTCGTCATACTGCGATCCAACGTCATCAAAACCGTGCTTTTGATTGAATTTACGTTAATCATCTTTTATGTCTGTCTTTTTTTTTTTTTTAAAAAAAAACACTTACAGAATACTCATGGCCTAGTGTCTGACCGATCCCTGCATAGTTTAAATAATCTGGAAAGTCTTTATCATAATTTGGCTTTTGGGCAAAAGCTGCGCTTACAAATATCTATGTAAAGAAATAAGCAAGTGTCAAGCGAATACTTGTACCTTTCAGCACTTACACTATTCTTAGACAGTAGATTGAAAGCATTGACCACCTGTGGGCTTGTTACTCCTACCCACTCAGTCGGGCTCAATGCTCTGTTTAACGTATTCCAATAGATGCGCATGATCCACTGGTTTACTGCTTTATCATTTTCATAAAAAGTGCCAAAGTCCGTTTTTAATCCCTGCATATATCTATGAATATCATGTGGCGAGCTTTCATCTGGGGCAAAGGTACTGTATCCTGTAGATGTCTGCATCATAACAAGCTAAAACATTTGCTTTAAAGGGTAAGACATTAGATACATGCCAAGTTTAGTCACAAACCTTTTTAATAGCAGCTTCTTTTGTAACATTGTCCAGCCATGTTGCGTTCCGTATTCGTTTGATCAGGGCTGATTTAATGTTTTTGGCAATAGTTTCTAGATTTATCTTGTCGGATTCGCCATTAGAGGCAATCATGGCGTAAAACCTGCCGACAGCTAAACCAAACCGGTCCAGCACTTTCTCGACACATAGGTTAGCTCTTGTTTGAAATGGAGAGTCTGGTATAAGCTGTCGAAGTTCTGAGTCAAGATTTGGCGCTTCTGTGACAATCTTGTAGACTGTAAGGTATTTTGCAATAGCGTCCATATGAATTGGCCGTGAAGGATCGTCAATGGTGGCATAATAACCGAGCTCATTAAAGTATTCTATATTATAAATTTGAATGGATATATCAAGTGTGTCTTTTGCGTTTGGTATATAGTGTTCAAGTATGCTTGTCCAGTCTATGAATGGGTATAATTCCTCGGCTGTGCTGAGTGAGTATGAATAATGACCGTAGTCGGAGCTGGTACACGGAAAGAAGTTATTCTCTTTTGTCAATAGACACAAAAAAAGGAACTTACATGGAATTTGTTATTTTAAACAACTTTGTCTGTAAAGCAATTGCGCTGTCAACTGCGTCATATATCCGTTCACTTGTGAAGGCTTTTATGCCATTATCTTCCATTAGCCGTAGTCTGTTTCTCTCTCTTTCTGTATAATTTTGTGAGCCGAGGACCGAGGATGTCAAATCTATTAGGTTCTGATACTCAAATTCTTTTAGTGGTATGTTCCCTGCTTCGTTAAAGGCTTTGGGTGGAGTGAGTATAAGAGATTTTTTTGTACTGTCTTTGTTGTCTGAAAAAATCTCTAGCGAAAATAAGCCGCCAATGTCTATGACAAGTCCGTCTGTCGTAGGATAGGGATAGCTTATAAGGTTGAATATATTGGTCGATATACTAAAAGAGTCTTTCCATTTCTTCTGATATTCTAATTCTCGTTGTAATCGCCTTAGGTCTTTTAAAAAGAACGGTATTCCTTCTTCTCCATATGTATCAACCTCTACACAGGATGAATAATAATTCTTTATGAGCTTATAATTCATCTTGTCGATATTTATATTTTCTTGGTTGTCTATCTGAAAACTGCTTGGAGATAGTGTCGAACTTAACAAATCTTGATAATTTCCTTCGAATATGGTTCTTAGCTGTTCTTTATATCTATAAGACTTCACGTCAAGTATTCCAAATTCTAGAATAGGGTGAGTCTATGTTTAGAAATCTATTTTTAATTCCAATTACCTGTCAAGTCTTCTGGTATAATAGTGTTCTTTATCCAATTTCCACCTTTATGAAAATCATGTCAGTTTGATGTGGGACCTTTAGAGTGATATATTATTACAAGCATACTGATAAAAATCCGAGCATGGATCAATGTTCATATTGATAGACGAAATTAAGCTTGATGCAGTCTCAACACATGTCCTTGTAAAGCATATTTCGTTTATTGTTGTTGTCGTATTATAGACTGAACCTAAGGGAGACTGTGCCATCCGACAAGTAAAAAGGAAAGGTAAATGAAGGAAAAAGAGAGAAAAAGGGTTGTTTGGTTGACTTTTTTGATGTCTTGTTTAAAATGTCTATTTCAAGAAATAGTAGAGTGTAACGGGATTGAGTGATCAATTGATTCTCATTGGTTTAACACGAGTTTACCTTTGGATGGAACACATTGGTGCGTGTTACAAGGAACGAGATCTTGCTATATTAAGCACAATTTACTCAGCGCCCCAGTTAGTGCTATTGTCGATCATACGAATATCACTTATTTTCGAACCAAAAGTTAGTGAGATTTACACCCACGCTAATTATATTAGCTTTATCCTTTGTGCTCTGCCTCTTTTTTTTCTCTACGAGTTTCTTGTTATTAGCTTACAGATAATAAAATACCTCTTTTTTATTTTCTTTTCTTTTTTTTTTTTTTTCAATCCAACTTGCTTGGGAGTGCGACAATTGACTTTTTTGGACCAAAATCACAAAGTTACTTGTGGCTACTCGCGTGCGCTCTGGATTTGAAGTTCACATTGAATTTGGTAACTTCATCCACTTCCGTTTCTCCGTCTTTGTTTTCAAGTCACGCTCGATGAGACAATCAAGTATGAGAAAATATAAAAAAAAGGTCATGAATGATCATTCAAGGCTACTTTTTGTTAAGTCTAATTTAGTGGCAAATAACATGTACTTGGTCCCTTTTAATGTCACCCCAGTTCCTTGACGCCACATAACTATATATGGTATAGATTCATTTAGGCGTATTTCTCCTCTTTAATGAGCCTCACCTACTCTCAGTTCCATTGTAATCATATACACTGTAGCAAAAAAGATGCTTGAGATTATCAACAATAAAACATTTCCTCAGTGTAACCCAGTTTATTTTTGATGCACGTAAAAATATGCTGACCTAAAATTAGATGCTTCCAAGACAAATGAGGATAACTATTAGAGTACATCTGGCCTACCTCTTTTATCATCATTTGTAGCCTTATTTTACACCTTAACAGGATATTTCTGTCCGGATCTGAAAGCAACGCTACCAGAAGAAGGTGATAGTGTGTATACTCTACAGCTCAGGCTCTCCTATCTTTTCTTGTTTGATTTTACTTGCTAGCAGGTGATGAAGTAAGTTGGTCAGTCCTTCCAAAAGTTTCTTTTCATAGGTTTCTGCTGATTGAGATATCTCTAACAGCTCGTCTTGAATATTCCTTATCACTTTTGTTGCTGTTAGCAATGCTGGATCAGAAGTCTTCATCATTAAACCTGAGATACTGATATACTTTGATCAAAGCGGTAAGGAGCCAACAGACAGCACTTTGTTATGAATAAAGAAAGAAATAAAAAACGAGAGTTGTTGCATTCATCCCTGCTATCAAACCATCAGCGACTTTCTATTCATAAATTCAGTTACAGTTTCTCAATTGGCCAATAAAATTTTTCTTATTTTAGAAAAGCATAAAATGCAGTAACAAAAAAAAAAGTGGAATCTTTAATCAGTTTATGAAATGCCTAAACAACTTGGAGAGATTGAGGTATATAATATTGTTGTTTTGTTCATAAAGGCGAATAATTGTAATAAAGCAGGAGTTCTTCACTCTCAAAGATGGGCATGTCAACTTTCAACAGGAACGATTAAGAACAGAAAATCATAATTCAGTAACAAATGGTGCAAAAAAAGATTACAGAGTATATTTCTTGTTTTAATCATGATCTCTTTTACAGCAATCATGAGATTCCGTGACTGGAGAGCTAGTTTTGAGAATCAAGACAACACTGTTACTGCTCAAAATATCCCATATGATTTCTTTGAGCTGTTTGCTGTATTAGCGCATGATAGGTAAAAAACGAAAACAAAAACAAAAGAGAATATTCAAGGTTTAGACTAAACCATTCCTAGTGACGAGCCACTAGACACACTTGCAGAACGAATAAATCAAATTTTAACCCCATTTGGAAAGAAAAGTAAAGCAAAGAAAAAAAGAAGAAAAAAAAACTAACAAGGATCTAGCGAGCGAATCATTTCTAAAAGTAGTAAAAGACATCATCAAAGTGACAGCCTATCAGGAAAGATATGGTCTAGGTGATGTGGTATTATTACTAGAAGGTGCTCCATCGGCTATACCAGACGTAAGCATAAACAGATAATGTATCATTTGTTGCAACTAAGAGTAGACACCCCTAGAGATTTTCATTTTACCGATGGCAAGCGCATGATCCTACAAACTTTCCTTCAGGCATACAGACAGCAGCTGCATCTAGGAGAGATGAAAGAAAAAGAGTAATATCTATAATATAAACAGAACCATGACTAATGAATCCCCTATCCATTAGTTTTCTAGAGAATTGACGAGGGCTTTCCAGTGTTTAGACATAGACAGACAGCTAGAACTGTTGCTTTCGATACATGAGCCAAAGCTTCGTACAATCCTAAAGACGCCAAACAAATCAATGACAGACGAAGAATCAGGTCTATTTACACCCTTCAAAGTCAATCGCTACACAACCGTTGCGCCCATCGTCAGTCATTCACGTAAACGATTGGCATCAAACTTTACTACTCTTATATATTCTCGTCTAGATCCATCCATCGATCTAAAGCAGCGATTTTACAATAGCTTCTCTGCGCAGTCCAAGAAGAAGAGAGGTTATCAACTCAATTTGGATATAAAGACAGCATTGGAAAACAATGACTATGATAAACTGTGTCAATTAAGGATGAAGTTACTATCATTTCATGAGGATGTCAGGCCAGCTTATTATGGAACTTGTTCAAAAACAAGTCATACAGTCAATGGCAAGAATCCATTTGCAAAGGACATAGACTTGTTGGTCTATGACTTTGATAGTGAGCCTGAGTGGGATCATGATGTGCTGACGGATGATATATATGACCTGGTGTCTTCAGACGCAGAATTCAGTGGTCTAAGCGGTTTGGAGAGTGATTCGGATGACCAAGATAAAGAGGAAGAGATCAAGCGTGATGAAAATATCCCAGCAGACAAATGGATTGTCCCTGACGGTTATCTTACAGACGATGAAGATTCTCTCAACGTACGTCCAGTAAGGAGAATGTCAGTTGTCAGTCGTCCTGCTAAATGGCCCATGTTAACCAGTAAACATTTCCCTATGAATCCTGTCATCCTTGGCCCCTCTTATGAATCAACGGATGAGCCTGCAAACCATCCTCTGTCTGATTTCAAATTGCGTACGCTAGAAGGTAAATGAGCACTTTTTTTAATGGTTCGTACTGAATTATTCTTGCCTAGATAAAGCATTTTTAAATCACCCTGTGTTTCATAGCAACAAATTCCTTGAAGATAGTTATGATGAGGATACAAACGACATGACCAGCTCAAAGCCCTTGGTAGCCATTTGTGAGCCTCAAAAGACATATCCTCGGTTCTTTGATAAAGAAGTGGATAAGCTCACCGAAAACGAACGGTTTGATCTGATTGAAACAATTGTAGAAAATGAATCCAAGACGATGATGGGGATATTAGGTGCGATTCGGTCCAAAAAGGTTCTTCGACAATACACACCAGCTCAATTACAGGCCATGGTTCATGACGTGGCTGTTCAAGAGATCAGAGACGAGGATAAGGCAAGAACAAAGACAAAAAATAGACGGTATGATTCACCCATTTCATATAGGATTATAAATGGTATCTCAGATGAGTTATTTAAAAAATATATATGTGTGTACAGTGTCATTATAATGAAGCAAGTTTACTATGATTATTATTAAATAAAGATCAGATAATTATATCAGATAGTGAATTAACTACTTTAAAAACTGCAAACTTGATCTCATTTTTACTAGCTGTCTCTACACATCTACAAAACTATCAAAGAATCCATAATTATTACCGTCAAGATAAATGATATGTTGCTCTCCTACATGGCGCGTATTCTAACAAAGCTATGTATGGAGTAGGTCTCAAAAGGAGAAGTTCCTTAATGTCTCGGTAAGCATAAAGTAATACACTGTTTTTTATTCATCAGTCTTTTAGTTAAATAAAGATCAATGCATGCTCTTTTTGTTTATTGCTATGATATACAAAGTATGATGTGAATGAAATGATTACAAATGCTATATAATATAGAGAGGATATATCTAGGCCCATTTGCCTAATAATGCCATGAGTCCAGCACCGCAATACATTGAGATAAAACAAACGGCCTTTCTCCTAAGAGAAGTTTTGCGGAAGTCTGCATTATGATTAATCTCTTGACTCATTAATGAGATATATGCGTTGTAAAGTAAGATGCCAGCTGAAAGGGAATCAAGGATGGCTGAAGCTAGGATAGCCGATGATGAATTAGGATTAAATGAAGAGTGAATCCCGATACCAATGGCACAACCGATGGGGGTCATGAGGACGAATAAAAGTGCCATCAGTACTGGTTTTTTCCATCCCTTGATATCCATGTCATTAATTCTCGTGCCTAAGGCGACACCTTCAAAGAACTATCCAACAAAGGAGGGTAAGCAAAAAGTTGATATGTACATGTTTTAATTTTACCTGATGAAAGACGAGTGCAATTAAGAGCGTTACAAATTCTTCGCTGCCTGTATTAGATAGGGTGATGCCAATGATGATAGAATGCATAACAATGCCAAGTTCTAAAATAAAGGTTCCAACATGCTTGAATGCATCTGGTTCTTCGAATAATCCAGCGCTGTGAACATGACCTTCATGATCGTGTATTGCAGGAGGAGTTCTGGCTGTGCAGCCAGTTGAATCAGAATTAATGGAGCAAGAAGTGCCTGCTTCTTGCTTTTCAATATCGCTTGCTGAATGATTGGCCATTCTGTTCGAACGGAGTCTTTCGATATTTGCAACCGCGGCGAGTTCTAACAATTGGAGAGCAAATGAAGCAATCATACAAAACACACCGGCAAAAGAGGAATAAGACTGCCACCCGGGGCTGAGACAAGGACTACTGAAATTCTCTAATGCCTCGGGAAGCATATGTACAAACGCGGTTGCTAAAATGACACCTGTTCCGACTATAAAGAGACAGCTGTTAGTTACATCCTTTCATTCAGAATTGACAACTTACAAAATTTGCCCATGGTGAGTAACCAGTCTCTGCTACTTCCTTTGGTATAAGGTGATATTCTATGCATGATGATGGGTGTAAATATGCCTATAATTATGTATATCAGTAATCCGATACAATTGTTCATTCATCATTATTTCCCAATTACCAAGCGAACTAGTGACTAGAATAATGAACAGTGCGCCAATTCTCATTGGCATATTATAATCAGTTATGTGTTCTGCTGTACATTCATCTAGAACTGTATCTGAAGGTGCTAAATAGTAAAGAGATCATTAATATATTTGACGTGTAATAAGACAATAAATCAAACCTTCCTGTGCCTTCACAACGGCTGATAGAAGGATAAGCAACCACAGTTTGAATGTATAGATCATAAAAGTCACTTAATGCAAGGAAAGAAAAGAAGAGAAGAAAAGCCTGGATAATAGAATGGATTAAATGACAAATAACCTTTAGGCCATGTTTCCAAAAAAAAAAAAAAGTGTACCCAACAGGTTACAAAAGCAGCATTAGCCAATCATCATTAAAAATTTCTTGCAGAAATTTTTTATAAAGTCACAATGTAACCTCAAAGGTACTCATCGACTCGTGCATTTAATAACATGGCACAGATGATTAATATATGGATTATGATTGTATGATGCATTGAACATTTTGTGTGACTAGGATCAATCCCTGGTTCATATTTGTTGTCCTGTACAGCCCCTTGATTTACGTTGATGATGCGATATAAGCAGTAAATGATGCTGTCTTTATATAAAAAATAACAGCAGATTGATCTACTGATAACAATAAAGAAAATCGAGAAACAAGCCAGGCACACAGCAAATAAATAGTATACTTGGTGTATTGAGGGACAAGATGCACTTTATTCACAAATTATTCGCACACTGATAATAATGATAAGAGAGAGTCCATCAGAAGCAGAAGAACGAGATATAAAAAGAAATGGTTAGTTAATCAGTTATTTACATTGATATTAAATACTTACCTTATAAAGAAGAGGATTTATAAGAGAAAAAGAGAAGTCAAAATCAGACTATTGATATGAAGTCTCTATCAATTTATCAACTATGTGTTGTTTATCAGTACTGATCACGTTTATCTTCTCTCAAAAAGACAAAATTCACTGCTTTTTTTAATAATAAAGAAAGGACTGATAGCCAACTAAAGTGCAATTGTTATTGGTTTTATATTGTGTGCAAAAAATTTCTGACATGGTAAATAAACAAACAAATACAGTTGTTTATGTAAACCCCTTCACTTTTTGCATCTTATGTAATCATTAAAAGGCCGCTTATCTGAGATTTAAACTAATGGGACAAACAGATAAGATGACCATAGCTTTTCATTTTTCAATGGTTACAGCTGAAACAAGCCAAGAGGACTTTATCAAGACCGTCTCTGAAGAAATCGAAAAGGAACATGGTATTTGGGTATTTGGTTATGGTTCACTGATTTGGAAACCACCTATTCATTATGAATCAAAGTAAAATGTTACTTCATTACTTAGAACATGTAATTAACCTTTAACAAAAAAAAAAGAAAGGTTGGATATATCAAAGGATATGTTAGACGATTCTGGCAGGTACGCTTGATAATATATATATATATATATATATATATATTGAACCTGTACTCATGTATTTAATAGCACAGTGAAGATCACCGAGGCACACCAGAGAAGCCAGGTAGAGTGGTTACGTTAATACCTTATGACGAATGGAAAAATATCGAAAGTGTGGTAAAGTTGGTGAATGGGGGGAAAAGAAAGAATAATATATTAAATTGTTTAAAGGAAGGACATGATAAAGTAACTTGGGGTGTAGCGTTTAAAATACCTTCAGATGATGTGGAAGCTACCCGGGCATACTTGGATCATAGAGAAAAGGTACATGACATATACAATAAAAGCATCATCTAATATATGCTTTAGAATGGATATACTGTTCATACTGTGGATGTATATAGTTTAGAAGATGATCAAGTTCCTGTTGTGAAAAACGTAAAGCATGCATTAGATCTCTCTTTGACACATTCCTTATTATATTTTTAGGCCTTAGTATATATTGCTACCACTGATAATGAAGCCTATGTTGGGCCTGCACCGTTAGAAGAGATGGCCAAACAGATTTATGAAACATATGGGCCCTCTGGATGGAACGCAGAGTATTTACTTAACCTGGCTGAAGCACTACGGGAAATTTCACCCGGTGTTCGAGATGATCACGTATTTGAATTAGAAGCATTAGTAAAAAAGTTAATAGATGAAAACAGCAATCAATAAAATTGTTATTTTTTATTTCAACATCATGAGTATAAAGTACAGTAGATATGAAACACCAAAAGAGACAAAAAGGCATAGAAACATTAGTAACATAGGGTATCTCTTGGGTTCTATTCGATGCGTGCTTGAAAAAGTACTGTAATTTGTCTTGTGGTAAAGAGGTAGGCTGCTATGAGCCTTTGAATGCTGGCTGGAGAAAAAATGATTGAGAATGGATATGACCCATGATGATGATTGTTCTTGTTTCCGTTTAGAAGGAGGTTGGTTTAATTGCAACTGTCTCTCTGGGATAAAAAAGTAATTGTCTTGACCACATGAGTACCTTCGTTCTCTGCAGCTCTTACAGTTCCAAGGGTCCGATCGAGACGACGTAGGATGATCAAAACTGCAGGAGGAATCAAATGACTGTCTGGCTGGTGACAGAAGCGGAGAGTTTATATCAAACGTTCGTTGAGAGTTTGGTGTGAGTAAAGGCGAAGTAGCAATGGTTTCTAATGAAGGGCATCTGCTACTACGATTACTAAGCGGAGCAAACAGTTTATTCTCGTCGAGATGTTGCTGACTATGGTGGCTCACTTGGCTGATATCAGGATCATCATCATAACATGTTACAATAGTTGCGATAGTTGTAGAACTCCAAGGTGTATCAGCAATGCTGCTTTGATCACTATCGCTATGGACAGTATTCGTATTGATCCTTAATGAGTTCTGGTTAAAGCTTCGTCTCTGTCTTTTTTCCTCTGCAAACAACAGGTCTCCTCTGAATGAAGTGCGTCGCAAGTCATCCTGCAAGGGATTCTGTAGCCACTTTGGATAAACATGAACTTTATCTGAAAACAAAGTGCCAATACCATGTAAATACAGTGAGAAATCATGAGCAGGCTCTAGTAAGCAACAAGATTGAAGCTCTGGTAAGTCGTCACCAATGATCTGAACAAGACAATAAGGGAAACGTACAGCCTCATGACTAGACAAGTTCTCGTAGGGATATTTCGAAGGCTCTAGAATCGAATTCCCTGTTTCATTTTGTGATAACTGCACCATGACAATATTCGTATCAAGGTAGATGGTCGAGCGAGAGTCATGTGCTTGATAGACAGTACGTGTCTGAGCTATTTTTAACACTAACAAAAAAATCGCTCACACGTGTAAACAAGATTGAACAAAAATAGTAAAACATGTTCTTCTTACCTGGAACTTTTTCTTTAGAATGAACTTGATTTTCTAGCTTGAAGCATGAATCTTTCATTTGTTGGACACTTCTTTGAGGTTCCTTTGTGCGATACTGGCAGCATGGTTTATCGAGGGTTTTCTTGAAGGAATAACTACCTTTCATCCACTTTGACATATGTTTCTTTTTTACCCAAAACCTTTGATGAATCTTACTATAATTACCCTGATACTGCTCTGAAACGTTTGAAGCTATCGATTCTTGGCTGCATTGAGGAATTTTTCCGAGACGTTTATGTGTCTGCTGAGATCGACTCTTGATGACGTTGTGATCATATCCCTTTTCTTCAATGGCCACAAAGTTGATTGTATCATGATCCTTGTTTCCATAATATCTCATACGCACTATTGAGTCATGACAAGATGGATTGGCGATTCTTTCAGAGTAACTGGCGAATGTAGGTGTATCGAAATAAATAGATGTTATTTGTACTTTATTGGTGTCACTGATTGTGGCGATCGATGGCTTGTGTTGGTGATATGCGCTATAATCATATGATAAGGGAAGGCCGATTTCATTCATGGCTGGGTACAGGTCGGAAGGATGCGTGTTTTGTATGGTTGCCTTGGATGATAAATAAAGCATTACTTCTAATACGTTATCAGGATGTACCCAGTATTTTTTGATTTTCCCTCTTGATACACAGGGCGCACAGACTGGGTGCGGCATCAAGTAATTGAGCTGATCAGCAAATTCAAAGAGAACAATAGATGGGTCCCAAAATGATTTATTTATCATCATGCGCTGTAATAACAGGTCAGTTGAATGTGATTCAAACAGCTCGTCGTATAGAATAAATAGCTTTAGAAAGCCGGAATAATTCAACTTTGCAAAGTGGTACAAGCGATGGATATCAGCTTGGATAATTTTGATTTGTTCCATCAATGAATTAATATCCTCTTTCTTGAGTAAATGGCATGCGACTATACGCCTTTCTATTTCACCCTTTTTTAATACAAAAAAGCTGTGAACCTATTCATTTAATTTAGAAAAAGAGATGATCAAGATGATGTCCATCTTTGATATTTACTTTGCTCCATTCAGCTTCGAATCGTTTAGCTACAGTCTGAGAGAGTGAGATAGTGGTGATGTCACGTTGTAGTTGATAATAATCCAAGTATGAAAACCTCCAAGGGGCATATTTAAGCTCTTTAAACTCTTGTTCAAAGGATGTGTTTGATACACAGGCTCGTGCAACGTCTGATAGGGCACTTTGGGTGATTGGTAAAGGAAGCCAAGATAAGGGTAAATGGTCAACGACACTGTCCATGATATGTAAGAAAGAAAGAAGAAAAAGAGAGAAAACATGTGCATTGGTGTTTATAAACAAACGTTTCAAAAGCACAATAATTATGTATACAGGATTAAGTAGCGTGTTATTCTATTGGGTATCTGAGATTAGTGCTTGACCTTATTCAAATAGATCCTTGGGGACCTATTCATGCATGATGACACGGCCCTTTTTGTTATATTACATTAGTATAGATTTATATACACCAAGGCAGAGAAAGAAAGAGAATGAGAGAGTAGCATTGACTGCTTTATATAATAAATAATACAACCTATGAATAAAACCGATGCTTTAATACAAAAAAAAGAGGACGGATGTCAAACCGCAAGAGATGAACACAAAAAGGATAAACAATAACACCAGGTCTTAATGGTGGCTTGTGTATTTCTACACAGAAACTTCCTTAATAGTGATGATGCAGCGATTTGACTTGGTGTGTTGCATCTATACTGCTTTATTGTGTTTAGGCATATGCATTGTTTATTCTTCACAAAGATGTGTTTTATATATTCATCAACTATTGATACCTCTTTCCTTCCCCTATGCCCTGGATTACTCTGTATTATCTGAATCATATTTATTACAGAAATGGCTTAATATTTCAGGTCATTGAACTAATCTCTGTGTGTTCTTTGGGTTAGTTTTATCTTTTTAATAATACACTCTGCAGGAAAGGGACCTGTTACACACCACGGTTAATGTCCGCCATGACGTACACAAGCAAATCACTTTTTATCTGCTTTTGTCCCCCCTCCCTTCTCTCTTTTTCTACTTCATTTCAATATTTTCATATAAATGAACGGCTTAGAAAGTAAAAATATAAATATAAATATAAATAAGCTGACTAGATTATAACCTTTTATCATTCTTATCTTTGTGTTGTAGACCAACTCTTTCAGTTAAAGGTTAGATTAGAAAAATAAACAAAAGCTTTGTTTTTGCCAACTTATTTTTATTAGTTTACAGCCAAGCAGCTAAATAAGCAATCAAAACGGTGTCAAAAAGATGAACAAACAGAAAAGAACAAGTTAAAGAAAGCTATACAAGATGGTAATATGGAAGGTGCTCGTATCTATGCATCGAATGCTATCCGAAAGAAGAATGAATCGCTCAACTTGCTCAAGTTATCTTCACGTATTGACGCAGTGGCCAGTCGTGTACAAACGGCTATTACCATGAGAAAGGTCTCTACTTCAATGGCTAATGTGGTTAAAGGAATGGGTCGAGCAATGGAGACAATGAATTTGGAACAAGTAATTAAAAAAAGTAGTTTTAACTTGTTACTGACTCTATTAGATTTCTATGGTCATGGACAAGTTTGAATCTCAATTTGAAGACTTGGATGTTCAAACAGGATATATGGAAGGTGCAATGGCAGGCACAACAACATTAAATACACCACAAGATGAAGTTGAGTCACTCATGCAACAAGTGGCTGATGAACATGGTTTGGAATTAAACGGTACCTTGAATGAGTTAGAACCAAGTAAACTATTGGGTGAAACAGCTTCCAAACATAAAGAAAAGGACGAAGATAGATTATTGACTGAAAGATTAAAAGCACTAAGACAATAATAATAATAATAAACGTATTCTTTGTTTTCATACACGAAAAAAGAAAAAAAAAAATTAAAAAAGCGAGTGAGAGACGAGTGCCTTTACAATTTTTTCTTTCTTTCTTTTATTTTTTAAACATGGTTACTGCCATTAACGAGTACACTTTTGAAAACAACACGGTTTTCTCTATTGCCGGAAAGGGCTTAAAATTAAATACGGCTGAAGATGTAAAAGAATTTGTAGAAACAATTGATCAAATGGATGATCTTGAAGTTATCAAGTTGAGTGGCAACACAATTGGTGTTGAAGCAGGTCAAGCCTTAGCTGAGGCATTAAAGAATAAGACCAAGCTCAAGGTTTGTTATTGATTGTTATAACTAAACTTAAACTTATTTGAAAGTTGTAGCAAGCTTTACTATCCGATATTTTCACTGGTCGTTTATTATCAGAAATTCCCCTGGCCCTCAAGGCACTTTGTGACGCTTTTGAACAAGTGGATCTTTTAGAATTAGACTTGTCTGATAATGCATTTGGTCCAGCTGGTGCACAACCCTTGATTGATTTCTTGAGCAACACAAAGACACTTCAGACCTTACGTCTCAACAACAATGGACTCGGTATCGGTGGAGGAACAATGATCGCTCAGGCACTTCAGGCCAATGCAGATAAGGCCAAGGCTGAAAACCGCGCTTCTTCTCTTCGCACCATCATCTGTGGTCGTAACCGTCTCGAGGATGGGTCCTCCAAGGCACTAGCTCGTGCCTTTGCTTCTCATGGTACCCTTGAAGTCGTCCGTATGCCTCAAAACGGTATTCGTTCCGATGGTATCCGCACCATCGTCGAAGGTTTAAGGGAATGTAAAAACTTGAAACACTTGGATCTCCAAGACAACACATTCACCGTCAAGGGTTCCAAGGCTCTTGCAGCAGCCCTTGGAAGTTGGCCACAACTTGAAATCTTGAACGTATCTGACTGTTTGCTTTCAAGGAAGGGCAGTGTCCGTGTATTTGGCGCACTTCATCAAAATACTCAGTTACGTGAATTGATGGCTCAGTATAATGAAATTCAAGCAGATGCAATCAGAATCTTGGCAGATGCAGTAAAGGGGCATTTGAACTTGCTTGAAAAAGTCGAGTTGAACGGAAATCGGTTTGATGAGTCAGATCCTGCTGTTGATATATTAAAGGAAGCTCTTGCAAAGTGGGATCATGAAGATGCCTTAGATGAATTAGATGATATGGAAGAAATAGACTCAGAAGAAGAGGAGGAGGAAGAGGAAGAGGAAGAAGAAGAAGACGAAATTGTGAAGGAAGCTAGAGAGGCAGAGTCACAGACGCCTCTGCCAGATAAAGACCAAGAAGAGGAACTGGTTGAAAAGTTAAACAAAACCCATATTTAAAAGTGTATGTGTTTTAGTTAATAAACTATATAATTTTCATCATCATCGTCATAATCTGTAAAATTTATAGTCTTGATCACCACATGTTCACGATAAAGCGACAACAGCTCGTTCTGTTAAGGATCGTTTGTTACCATGGCTTTGGCTCAGATTATAATATGGCGGATAAGTCAGGCATGTAGCCAAGAAGGATGGCCCTAATTGGTGTGCTTGATTGATTTCGTTCAGATATTGGAATTTTTTTTTTCTAATAGGCATATACACTGGATCTTCATAATAATATTATTGAACACCTGTATATCCCGTTCACGCTTTGAATAAGTAATCCTTTCCTTAATGGAGCTAAGCAGTATCACCTCTTTTTTTATTATTACTAATACTTGTCTTTTATTCATCACCATAGTAACTTTATATTTCTCATATTCAAAATAAGCAAACGAGATATTATTGTTACATATAGCTGCATTGAACTTTTAGACTATGCTGCTGATAAAGAAGTGTACACTCTTCAAAGCTTAATTAATATCAGCATTTCCGTAATTGGATTAATGAAACGTATAGTGCAAAAGAAAAATGGTAATGAGAAAAGAGACAGCAATACTGTTGAGAACAGGTGACATCCCTCAAATGAAGATTTCTTATTAGAGGGTTTCTTGGCAAACGTTGACCGCCTTGATCATTTACAAGATGTATACATTGAGAGGCCATATTGTGAGAACTATATTGAGGATACTCTGTAAAGACAGTTTACTTGTTGGTTGTTGAACCAAAATAAAATTGCGGGAAGAAATATGCTAGTCTAGTACCTACAGTAAAATAGAACTTGTCTCTTTCTTCATTTTTGCTAGAATACAAATATCATCCAGGTACGTAGGTATCTTTTAGGCCAATCTTGCGCATGAAGTCGTCCTTCTTTATCAGTTCTCGCAGTGCTGGGGCACTTTTCATCTTGGAATGTTGGCATTGTACACATTTATTTAGTTTCTGGTAGCTCAAGATGAGTCTCCTTGTGGTAGCTTCCTGGACGGTGAATAAACTTGACAAATAATCTCAGCTCTGTGATGAGGCTACTCTTGTCATTTTTGAAGAATTGCTGAAGGTTTTGAATTGGAAATGGATAATGAGTAAACAATAACTTCTAATGGTATCTTTTTAATTTGTGTAAAATAAGAAGTAAAGAAAAAAAATACAAATTGCTAAATACGACGTTATGACACAAGTTGTTATTAGTATAAAATCTCTTTTGTACAAGTGGTTCTTGGAAAGTTTTGCTATGGAAGTGACTTTATGCCACTTTATTTCGCAGAAAAAGTATTTTCAAGCCTATAAATTCACACAACGTTTTTATACTTGCTTTAACATGATTCCCAATTCTGAACTCATGCGAAAAATATCAGTGTTTTTAATGATTTTTATACCAATAGATTGGCATAAAAGTCACGAGAATATCCAGTAAAGATGGAAAATGAGCACAGCTCAATGAGTAGGGCATCATCGTTGTATTTCAATATATTCCGTGCATAAGCTAAAGTTATCTCAAACTAAGCCCACAACGCTGATCCACTTTTATTCTTGCATATGAAGGTCAATTTCCTTTTTCCCATGTATTTCCTTCTTTTCTCTGCTCATAGAAAACTTCTGGTCGTATTCTTAGAGCTGCTGCCATGGCTGGAAGCAAGAAAGAAGAGTGGCTAGAGATATTTGTTGGCTCATTTGTTCCCCTCTCTTGTTTCAGCAATAGGCTCTTAAACAACAACAGTACAAACATATATTGCTCAAGTATGCCTGTTAAAATAACCAGATCAGAGCGCATCTTGAAGCAATAGCTCAAAGAAGACTTCAAAGAGCTATGGTCTTTTAATTGCACCAGGTATGTTGAAGTCGATTATACTCGAGACAATCCCCTTCATGCTTTGGATCATCCGTTTGTTTCTGATGACGAAATCCTTTTGGAGTGTATCTTCTTCTTATTGCACACCTTTGCTTACCAACCTATCAATTGAGAGAAAACTACTTCTCTTTTAAGGAAAATCAAGAATCATGAAAAGCTGAAGAAAAAGCTGAAGTACTCGGAACTTGATGAACACTACGCGCACGAGAAAACCCACGAGAAGGCTAATGCTACGGACGCTTCCTTGGGGCACTAAAATATATGATAGAGTGTTATGAATCAATGGTATATTTGTTCCCAGTTTAGAAAAAAGCATGTTAGCCTCTATTCTTTTAATCTGACAAAAAGTGAGAAACCAAGCATACAAATGGGAATTCAACTCTTATTGTTGTATTAAATGGGATATTTATACAAAAGCTTCATTCTTACAAGGGTGGGTATTGTCAGATCGATAGCGTGGATGTTATAAAAAAGAAAGGACATGTAAAGATAAAGCATTTTAAAGTGTTGTCAGTGTGACTTGAGTGTATATTTTAGTCTTCTTCAGCTAGCTTTAATATTGTGGAGAGGCAGAGTCATAGACACCTCAACCAGATAAAGACCAACAAGAGAAACTGGTTGAAAAGTGTATGTGTTTTTATTAATGAACTATACTATCGTCATCATCATCGTCATCATAGTCTGTGAAATTTATAGTCTTGATCACCATATGTTCACGGTAAAGTGACCATAGCTCGTTCTGTTGAGAATCGTTTGTTACCATGGCCTTGGCCAGATTATAATATGATGCCACAGATAAATCAGGCATATGGTATGCATCCTGGGTGGTATATTCTAATTCATATTCCAAGTGGTCATGTGAGTTCCATTTAGTCAAATTGGAGTAGTATTGTGCGTAGCCTAGCAGATGGCCCAATCGGTCTGTTTGATTGACTTCATACTGATAAATACGGAAGGTGGGATAATAGACAGGTAGAATAGATGGTGCCACTTGTATGACAACAAGCGGGGGTGGGGATATAAAGTTGATATCTATGCTTTGGTACATGCTGTACAACCAATCGGCGTAGGCACTAATGTCTCTTTGGGTAGAGACCTCCTGACGCTTACCATCAAAGATAAGGAAATGATCCATGTTGAGATGAGCAAAGAAATGACCTAAAATGACGTCTGTATAATCTGATGCGATTCGCATAAACTGTGATAGACAACTGTTCCTGTAATCACGGGGAGATGGAGGGACATGACCGGTCACGTATATTTTAGCATTTTTCATTCGAGCCATACTAAGCTGTCGTTCGAGCCACTTGAGTTGTATATGGGCTGGGCTGCTTGCACGATTACAGTTTTGTACGGCCTTGTTCTTGTTATAAAAGTACATGGTGTTTAATGAAATGACATACATATTTGGTGTAACCTGAATCATGAAATAACCTCCTTGACGGAATGTTGAGCGTTGTGAACGGGGTATCCAATGGTTCCAAAGTGTACCATAAAAATCAAGCAAGTCCCCATCTTTATCAGGACCTCCTATCTGATTATGAGGAAAGACGTCATTATTACCAAAACTAGGAATAACAGGAATATTTTTAAAGGTATCCAGCATCAAATCTGTCATGCGTTGATTCAGTCCGTATACATCTTTTCGCTTTCTTTTGTTATTTTTCTTATCCCAGTTGTGTCTAACATTAATGTGTTTCAGAATGATTTTCAAAACAATAATAATGGGGACTTACTTTGCATTATCGCCTGTCCATATGACAAAGTCTAACTTGTCTAGCCATTCTTTTGATATCCAGTCAAGTGTCTGTTCTGCCAGTTGGAAAGGTGCATCACACTTTTGTCCTGGAGAACCCCACTTCCCGGCAGTTGACTGAGTCATTTTACGTGCTACCTTGTGACAAGCTGATTTAATTGTAGCATTTTCCTTGTATTGTTCATCTATATGCATATCTGTGATATGGAGAAAATATCCATATTGCTTCTTTTTGGCTTGCTGTGGAAAGGCAATAGTCCAAGAGGATCGGGGTATTTGGTAGAGTACAAATCCATCCTGTGTTAAATGTGGCTTGGCTATTCGCCATGAATAAATAATAAATACGAGTGAAAAAAAATAAGCAAGGACAGAAATTGCCTGCATGACTTTGTGGAAAGAGAAGAAGAAAAAGGTGAAAAAATAAAGAAATAATGTAATACATAAATGTGGCGCATGGCTCTAGTACATCAGATTATTGGGAAACGAATCATGCGAAGCTTACCCTTTTTCTCTGTTTAAATACGTGCATCTGTTCATTACCAAATAAAAACACATTCAGGTACAGTGCTCACGGTATATCAATTTGCGCGATTTCAAATTATTTTGCGTACAGTTTTTGCACTTTAAATTCAGACAAACGAATAAAAATTTATATTCAAACGAAAAAAAAAAAGGATAAAGACATTCAATCAAGCAAGACCTAATACTTTGTCGAGACATCTATCTCAAAAGCTTTCTGCATGCTTGATCTATCCAAGACAATCTCCTGTGGCAACGCTTCTACAAGCTGCTTGTATCCTGGGAGTTAAAGTATCCAATGAGGAGAACGGATTCCTTCTGGCATGAGCTTTAATTTTAGACCAGCACTCTTCAATTAGCATAAACAAAGGCTTATAGCCACGGCTTTGAATAGCTCCTATTACATAATGAGAATAGCGAATCCTGCAGTTATCCATGGCGATAAAAAATCCTTCTTTATTATGTCTATTCGAAACGCGTTTTACGTAAATATCCCACAAAAAATACCGCTTCAATTAAAGCCACATCTCAAACGCCACAAAATATTTTATTTTATTTATCTTCTTTGTTTTTCTAAATGAATGTTTGATAGTAACTTTTCTACTTAATTACTTCTTAACACAACTTCTCTAAAAAACTGTTCAACCTTAAGCTTTCACGAACTGTTAACTTCGTCAGGTCTTAGATTCTCTACAACTTCTTTCAGTAACTTCAACTTTTGCACCATGTCTTCTTGCTCTCTTTGCAGCTCATGTTCAGGTTCATACTGCAACCCTTCAATACTTGATACTCAGTATAAGTTGGGCCGTTAAAATGAAAAGCTTTAGATTTTTCTTCTTCACGAACATTTGCATTTCTCACCTCTCCAAACATCATATTCAGTATAACATCCCAGAAGGAACATATGCCTGCAAGCCCTGTTTCGTTATCGAAAGTCTGGGCAGCTACAAGACTTTACCGTATCATTTTCAACACGAACTTCATAAGTTTTGTCTGCATTGTTGAACGACTGAACATTGTACAAGCTAGCTCTTTCCATCTTAAAAATCATGTCTATTGCCACATGGATGCTGACTTCTTCAGCTTCAGGTCCAATTCTTCCAACATTCATTTTGATACGATTTATGTTGCTCAGAAAGTCTTCTTCAACGTCATTGACCAGAATATACACCAGTCTGTCAACTCTTCTATTTCTTTTTCTTTGCAAATAACTAGTCTTGAGCTGGCTATGCCAGCTTTCAACGTAATTATTTGTTTCCATGTTGGTGAATCTATCTAGTTGATAGGCTGCTGTCCACCTTATGAATCTGTCGTTATCCAAATAGTTATTCTTGAAATAGAGCATGAATGCTGGGTATATGCTGAACTCTTGAATGAGTTGGCTGGGTTTCCTGGTATTTTCAGTTCTGCTGTTTTCCCACATCACCCTCTTCAATTGTGAGATAACTGACTGATGCGCTCTTTTGCTATCTGATAGACTTTCAAGCACAAGTTTGGCTCATACCTGTTGTAATATGGCTCTCAACACATGAAAAAGACATCATTGACTGTTGACAGATGGAAATATACTGCGAATCGCGTTTTCTTCCACGTCGCTCATATCGATCGTAATCTTTTCAGGACAGAGGTTGGCAGAATGTTTTAAATAGTAGAACCAGTGACTTACAGGCAAAAGAGATCTATCAGTAATGAAGAGGCAGTATTATGCGTTGCATCCAGAGAAAGATCCTTCGTTTCGGCCAAAAGGGATGCTTGATAACTTGGACAGAATCCAAAAGTGAATGAGCTGTCATAGTCATCGTCGATGTATACATTGTAATTCTTTGATTCCAAGTGGTTCAACCATAGCTTGACAGAGACTTTCTGATCGTCATGCCTCTTGTAGGCTCTCTAAAATACCTTTCTGAAGATGTTGTACACACCTTCACTGTGAATAAAGTTATCCCTGTGAGGAATACTTGCGGTAATTTCATTTTGAGAGCAAAATGCTCTATGCATAGCAAAACATACGCTTCTTGTATTATATCCTTCTTTCAGTTGCTGAAGGATGGCTTCTTTGACATCTGCAGAGCCGAGTACGTGATAATGATTACCATCCACCGTGATAATCACTTTCTCAGGGTTGCTCAAATAGCAAGTTGCTATCAAACGAGCCTTGCATCCGATCTTCTTGCTTTTTTTTTTTTTTTTTTTTTTTTTTTTTTTTTTTTGCAAGGTTCTTTGAACAGCCATAATGTGTCGCTTGCTTCCAGCGCGATGGCATTCATACAGACTTCTCCAAAAATAGTCTTCACATCGTCTACCTCTGGCTCCATCCAACTCTTGATCCATGGTATTATTTCTAGTTATCTTCCTAATAACCCACTTGACACCATACTTAATTATGTGGATCTCAATAACTTGCTTGTACTGAGCGATATCCATAACTTGAAGCTCAGGTACAAGACTGTAAGCAGCAATGTTAATTTTAAAGAGATAGAAATAGAGAGAATAGTAGAGCTATAAAATAAGAAGCAATGTTGTGTTTATTGTATTAATATTTGTTTTAAAGGAACAAGATGTCGGTGACTAACAACTTAGATTATTGAGAAGAAATGATATAGTTCGAAAAATGAACACAAAGTTTAAAAGAAAAACTGTCAAAAGCAATATTTTTCGTTGGGTATTTACGTGGATGCCTCAATTTTTTCTTTTTTTTTGTAGAGGCATGGATGCCTCAATTCACTTAGCGTTATCGACCAAACGTAACCAATAGCTTTCCAAGTAGATGACGCCTCCATCATTGCCTCGGACTCCTTTTCTTTTATAAGAACTCTCGAGGCCGCTATCGCTGCAGATAATTTATAGAAAAAGAATGCTTTGAACTAAACTTTCTCCATCTTTAGACTCTACACAGAGCTTGGCTATAGGAATTTTCTTTTCTTTGGCATTTCTTGATTGCATAGAATTCTCAGAGCCAGGCATGTCCTGCATGTGTCGAGCTACCTTCCTTGCTTTGTTTCCCTAAATTAAAGTGTAAGTAATTAAGGCAAACACTTGGTGCACTCAAAAATAGACTAATACTACGGGCGCTACCTCTACCCACTACCTATGATGTCGTCCAACAAAGCTTTTCAATGCGTAGCGTCAAGCTAAACATGGATTTATAAAGCTACCACCTTGAATTGTCTCTTTTCAAGAAGGAGAAAGAGATAAAAAAGAAATGCTGTCATTTTTTTATTCTAGTTTTATGTTGTCAGTCTACCAGCAAAGAACCAAGATCAATCACGTGTAATTATGATAAACTCGTATTTTATATCAGAGAGAGTGAACTGGACAGCATTAGGTTAGGCTTTGGTGGTGACAGCATAGGTAGCGCCCCAATTAAGTACCCAGAGCATTAGCTTATTTTCTGGTGCACGTAGTGTTGGCCTTTTTTTATTAGTTCATCAAAACTTCTATTTTCTTTTAATCTAGTCAACCTTTATAATTTTTTCTAGCCATTCGATCTGTATAAATCAAAAGAGTTTTATTGTTACTTGGAAACAGCCCTGGACAACAACTTTTTTATTTTTGCGCGAATCGATTTTAGGGTTGACGCGAAGTGGCTAGTTAATTTTGAGTAATTATACGAACACCGTTTTTTTTAGGGGCATAGTTTATAGACTATCTTTTTATCTAACCGATCCATCTCGCTTGCGCTCGATTTCGGCGTCGCCCTGCAGGTTTGTTTTGGTTTTTTAAACTTCCAATTTTATTATTTAGAAAAATATATAAAGAAAGGGAAGAATCGTTTAACAACAAGACTTTAATTCTGGTTTTCAGATCTTCACTATTCTCAAAATGACTACGTCTTACCTTTCTTTTTACAATTGCCCAGAATTGTTCGATAGGAAGTTTGGCACATTTATATTAATCAATAGACTGGGCTCGTCGTTTTTCCCATGGATAGTTTGCCTATCCATGGTCATATAAAACCTCTTGAACTGGGGATACTTATCCATCTCGTCCATAGCGTTATTGATGAAGCTGGTGTAGTGACCGGCGTTTGTTCCACCTGGTGTTTTTGTTTTTACTACTGTTGCCTTTTTCTTTTGAGCCTCTGCAACTTTTATTTTTTTGGGTGTCAAGGGAACACGTGTTCCCATGCTAACTACTCTAAGCACAGACATAGCGCCGAGAATAGTGTGGCTGGCTGCTCATGCTGATGGGGTAGTTATTACCGCAGGGGTGCTTCGAATTAATCTCGCCGTGGGAGATTTCATGTTGATATTGAATGTACACTTGTCGATAAAAATATAATTTTTTGTATAGTCCATGTCAGTGTTTGGCCAAGTTTCTACCTATTCACGTCTCCCTTTCACCTTAGCATTTTGATTTCTAGCAAGGGGATGGCGAGTGATTCTATTGACGTTTAAATTACACTTTGTCAATATGTAGATATAAATAGAACTGTAAACAATAAAAACAACAAAAATGTACATACTACAGTCTTTCACTTGAGATGAGTCGATTTTAAATTTCTTTAAGACCAAATAAAATTAAATTCAAGACTATCTGCGACTTTTTTTAAGACAAATGGAGTGAAGCATTGCCCCTAATTCAACCTTACTTGCCTCTATTTCAACTTCAGATGTGGTGCTATGAAAGAAGGTTAATAAGAGAATTGGATACTCTGTCTCGATAGTGTGCACCAAATAAGAAATTCAGCATTATGATCTGTATAGTGCACTCTCTGAAGATTATATCATTTTCTACTAATCCATTAAACATGAGAGCCCGGTACAGCAATAAGCTATCATTACATTCTGACTTTATATGGTACCAAACCTAAAGTATTCAAAGTTTCATTATATCTCGGGTAATATCTTCTTACAGAACGGTGAGTGTGCATATTAAGCCTTGGTATTATAAAATATAGGTATGTATTTGATTAAACTTTCCCTTCGAGTTGATATAGGAATTAAAACAATAGCTGATAATATTATTCATTTGGGAGGTTTATTATCAAATAGCTTCAATGAAATAAAAATTTTAAAGAAATTGAACCATAGCTACTCCTTTACTCCTATTTGAACCAATGAAAAAGATATCGGCCTATGTTTTGATATAATCAAAACGATGATCAGAATCAATAAAGGCTTTGAACAAATATTTACTCTTGGAGGCCCTGAGTGTTTTTTTTATTATTGTTTTCTTGAAAAGGGAGTCAAGCCACAGTTTTTCTTGCGGGCTGTCACAGAAAAAAAAATTTTTTTTTTTTATGTTATAAAAAGCGGGCAATGGTTCATTTCTGTTCATCTTTCTCTTTCTCGCATTTTAATAGTAAAAATGGCTCCTGTCAAGACCACCCCTGTTGCTGTCAAGAAGTCCAAGTTCATCATTGACTGTTCTGGTCCTGCCAATGACAAGATCTTCGATGCCGCTGCTTTCGAAAAGTATCTTCATGACCGTATCAAGGTTGATGGTCGTACTAACAACCTCGGTGAAGCCATTGCCATCTCTCGCTCTGCTGACAACAAGATCACTGTCGTTGCCAACATTGCTTTCTCCAAGCGTTACCTCAAGTACCTCACCAAGAAGTTCTTGAAGAAGAACCAAATCCGTGACTGGCTCCGTGTTATTGCTACTGACAAGCAAACCTTCGAACTTCGTTACTTCAACATCGCCAACGATGAAAACGAAGAAGATGAGGAATAAACTATTATAATTAAAGCCTTTGTAATAAATTAAAAGGGTGAGACGAGAACGAACCCTTGGTTTTAATAGGTGCGAATCTATTAAAACTTTAAAATCACAATCTCTGTAGACAATATGAACTCTTGATTTGAGAGATTATTTATTCAATTGAGCTTGTTGAGAAAACCCTGGAATAATTAAAGTATTCGTTTGTGTGAGAGGTCTGTTGAGCTATCCATTTTTTTGAGTTACTTGAACATCTTTTATGATTGGCCCATGTCCTAGTTATTGAAAAGCAGAGACCAGAACGGAAAAGGCGTGTAAAACCTAAAAAAGAAACTGTAACAAAAAGTTTTTTTTTTTATTCCGCCTAATTATCATCATTTCAACTGTACCTTCTTCTTCTTCATGAAGACCCACATTTCACTCATTATTATCCTATTTATTCCATTACTACAATTCACACTCTGTGATATTATATTACCAACACCAACACCAACCAACAACTCTCCTAATGCTCCGCCTATAGTTACAACCAATGAGCAAAATAACAACACACCAACACATGCACCTGATGCAGACAAAGTTCGCCATGATGATCATGACCACGATAAAAAGAGCCCAGAGATAACCGTTGAAACTATTTACAAGACTGTGACTGAGCAGACAACCCCTTCTATCCTCAGTGTTTCTAATTCTGGCTCAGGAGCCCCACTACAACAACAGCCCAGAAATGATACTGCTAATAATAATAATCCTAACCCGTCTGGACTGACAAAGGATATAGCTCAGAACCAACAAGCACTGAAAAGGATGATTTTGATATTATCTCTTGTAGGAGGTCTAGGCGTGATTGCTATTGTGGCAACCATTGTTATTTTCACCAAAATTAGAGCCAAAAATAGGAGACATAGAGAAGAGGCAACAGAAGCGGTTGCAACAGCCACCGATAGTGCTTCAACCACTTCTTCCAGTAGCGATGACAGTTACTCTCATCGCCATAGTCATCATTATGAAAACGAACAAGAGGAAATCGTACCTTCTGCACCGCCTGCTCTAGCTATGATCGAGCCTCCTCAAAGAAGATATGTAATATCTATGATATCACAGACTACTGCTGCCCCTTCAGCGCCCACTGCTAAGGAACTGGACGCCATAGTCGATGATAATGATGAAGTAGGATCTTGCTCAAGATATGCTGCACCACAACCAGAGGGTCCACCACCAGCGTATACACCGAGTGCACCACCACACTATGCGTTGCCTATGGATGCAGTTGTATTAGAAAATGTCATTCCCCCAAGAAGACACTCTTATGGTTCCTAACCCACGTTATCTCTGTATATTATACCCTACCCATCCTTTCCTCTTCTTTTTCTTTTTTTTTTTTCTCTTGCTTGTCTATTTGTGTATATTATCATTCATCTCGAATCGTGTTTTAATAATAATAATTATAATAAAGTAACTTCATCTCCTTACTGCCATTATTTCATTAAAGTTTTGATTCTAGGAGATAGCTTAAACAATCAATTATTCTCGTTATGCCCTCCCCCCTCTCTCTCTCCTCTTTCTTTAGACCCATCGACCCTGTCAAGTCTCCTTTTTTTTTTGTCTAAAACATATATAAGAAAGAAGGCATTTTTACAATATGTTTCTCTCTCTTTTCCTTATTCTTTTTAATTGACATCAAATGTTCAAATACTATCTAATTTACGCGCTTGTTTTTTCAATCTTTATCCTTACTTCTGAAGCGGGAAGCTACCATCGCCAGACTCCAAAGAAACGATCCCCACTTTTGAAGAGAGAAGACTGTGATATCTCTTGTAATGGTGAACTTGCTAATTGTGCAGACCGATGTTATAGTTCTAGGATAGGCAGAGAAAAAGGCAGAGATGCTATAAAGGTTGTATGTCAGTCTAGCATGTGCTATTGTGGATTTGAAGCTGGTGATGATCGATAAGTTTGTTAAGTTATTCCTTTTTTTTTTTCTATTGCTTGTACCTTTCCTTTTTTAAAAATAAAGATCCTATTTTTTACATCTCCTTTTTACTATATCGAATGAACTCAAAAGACAGTATTCCCTTTCTTTCTCCTTTCGTTAAGGGATAACGACATTCTAGACCTACGACATCTCACTCACCCACTCTCTGTCTGTCTCTTTCCCCTATTTGAAGCGGAGCACTGCGACAGGGTGACAGCTTTTTCTGAATTCCACAGAGGGACAGAGGCCGGAGGGAACCAGGGAAGCGTCGCCTGTCTCTCTCTTTTTTTTTTGCGTAGCCTTTTGTTTGTTTCTTTCTCTCTCGCTTTGTTTTTGTAAAGAAATATGCTTCCACGTTCTTTATTTTCCGCGTCAACATTAAAGATTGAAAATAATGAAGGAGGATCAGGTAAGATGGCAGGTGCACTCATTTTGATAAATTGTTTTACTTAAAAGAAATAGAAAGCTTGTTTTCTCCTAGAAGTAGCAATAGTGCATATAGTGTAGATCACGTAAGCGTTGTCTTCATATCTATTACGATAATACTAACGTGTATAAAGGGCCAACGTGAGACACCTAGTAACCTGAGATCTAGTGTACACCAGCTGAGTAGTGACAGTAGTGAAGACGAAGAAGAAGGATCTATTATCAGGAGAGAAAACAATATGATAAAAATACCTGATGTGATTGCACAGCTCAAGAGAAAGGTATAGTTAAATTATATACAATAGAAAGAGGGACTTTTTTTAAATTGCTGTCATCAGCTTGATAAAGAAATGTTGAAGCAACACAAGTATCAACGAAAGCTTAGTTCATCCAGCTTGTCTATCAAGGAAATCTCTGAACAAATAGCTTACTATGCAAGCTTACTTTCAGATGTACCGCCATCCTTTTCTAAAGCGGCAGATCCCGCGTCTGTCATATCATCGAGACCACAGATGGGGAAGCGATCTGCACCTTTGCCACCCATAAACAGTCAGAATGAACCTGTAAAGCGATCCAGGATGGAAGCGACAAAGGTAGGTTTAGTGTGAAGTATATATACATCCTGTCTGACATGTTTAGGAAAAGGCCATTGAACAGGTGCAGCCTCAGCTAAGTAGAGATCCAAGAGAACTAGAGGTTCAATGGGCTTCAAAGAGGTCAATGGATGTATATGCAGTACGAGGAAGATGGAGTCGTATAGAGTTTACAAAGAAACCACGCTCTTTGTTGTACAATATTTGCCCTGATGATCCGAATAAACAGATGGCCAATTTGATGATTGCCACTTCTTTGGAAGGTGAAGTACAGTTTTGGTAATTACCCTTTTTTATGTTTAAAAGTCAACGGGATGCTCAATATATCTGTGTGTTATATAGGAATGCTGGCGAAAGAAGGTATGCTACTGAGCTGTGTTGGTGCCTGAACTAACAGCATATCAGAAAAATCAAACAGATAGGTAAAGATCATTTGTATGATACATGGATAGAAGACATGTGCTGGGTGAATCCAAAGGCATTGGCCATAGCTCCATCTCTTCCCACGAGACACAGAGAGTCTGGAGCAGAGCTATCAAAAGAACCCATAAAGATGATTGAAATATTAGATGCTACATATGTAATAAAAAAAATACATCTAGCAAAGAAAATAGCTAACCCCCCCCCCTTGTTCTATAGAATGATGTGAAGGGCAAAGTACATGTGTTGGCTGAATCGCCTCATGAAAACGGAGTCAATATGATGGGTTCTGTGATTAGACCAAATAATAATGACAATCGTTATCAATTTGTTACAGGAGGCTTAGATAAAACTGCTGTAAGTGACTTTCATGATGGCTAGTGTGATGTACCAACATTGTACCCATTATAGTATCTGTGGACTGTTAAAAAAGATGTGGGAGATCCTTCTTTTACTGTTGAATCAATGGATAGAATGCCAATTATGCACACATCAGCTTTGACCGCATCTTGTTATAGTTCATTCAATGATTTGATGGTTATAGGCGGTGCAGACGAGAGATTATCTATCATTGATTTGAGTAGAAATTCGGTCAACAGAACGACTCGCCATCCAGGAAAAATCTCTCAGCTCTTACAGAGCAGCTTGAACCCAAACATTGTGCTCATAACGTATGTCGTATTTGCTCTTTAAATGTTTATATTGACATTTTATTTTTCTAGTCGTTCGATTTATAACGATCAATTCCAAATATATGACTTACGAGAACCAGAGCATCAGGCGATCAAGTTAAAGTTCGGACAGTCTGAAAAAGAAAACTTTTCAAGATATGTAAAGGCAGATATGCACAAGAATGGCTATATGGTCGCTTGTGGTGGACAAGATATGGCCAAGGTGAACTTTTGGGACCTAAGATACTGTAATGTTGGACATGCTCCTTCGTTCTCTATGGATATTCAATCAACGCCTAGAGTCTTGGTATCAATGTTTGTTCCTGGACAGGATACTGTCATTACAGCTTCATCTACTCGATACATGACTTGGTTAGATTATACAGTTCGCGAAAATGAGATTGTTAAGGAGTTTGATTAAGAAAGAGCTCATATACACATATACCCCATCGTTATTTGCAGAAATTTCAATGTGTTTTATACATGAATAATTGCTTTTATTTGAAAGAATGAACGAAAAAGTTTTGCGTTTAAAAATAATAAAAAGAGCGTATTACAAACAAGTTCTACAATAAACAAGGGATTCGCCCTGACTTCCAGTATACACCTTGGCAGCAGAGTCCAGTTGTTTAGAGCATTTGGTGCATCTTAGACATTTTTTATGCCATCTACTTGCCAACGGACCTGGGGTGTCGTCCATGACAGAGATGGGTTTTTTGCATTTCGGACAAGTCTTTTGCCCTCCTAATTTGGGTAACACTCTCTGACGAACCTTGGGTTGAGACCGAGTATCGTGACAGGACTGACAGCAAGGGGCTTGGTCGACTTCAAAGAAAGGCTGACCCAAAGAAATTTGTTGACCACATCCACCTTGGCAGATAAAGCAATCAAAATGGTACGCTTTGTCTTGAAACTTGTAACAGTCGTCGGTTACTGGTTTTTTACAAGCAAAGCAACGCTTTGTGCCGCAATCGGCATGATAGAACGATTTGCCATCTGTAGCGCATTCGTTACTACTAAACGGCTGGTGACACCGACTACAGAGGAAGCATGATTTGTGGAACCAAGCGTACTGTCCCGAAGGAAGCGACAGTTTGAGCTTCTTTCCTGTATCGCCAAGAGGTTCATGACAGTAGTTGCATGGTCTTTGAGAAATAGGCTTTATGATTGGAGACGAGACAGAGGAGGGTGGTGAGTTTAGAGGGGTTGAAGTAGCAGTTGGTTTGGGTATCGTTATCTTTGGTCGAGAAGGGCTCTTTCTCGATAGCAGGTCCTTGGAGTCTTCAGGAGATGGTATACGTGATAAAGGAGGCGTGCTCATCGAAGGCTGGAACAAGTCTCTATCCAGGCGTGGTCGTGAATGGTTATATCTTGAAAGGAGTATAGATGATCTAGTGGAGCCACTTGAGGAAAGGCTTGATTGTGAAGAGATAGAATCATCGCTGTACGATGACTTTCTGTTTATTCCTTTACCAGCCTGTGCCATAAAGCAGGGCTCACAGCAAGGGCGTTCTTGTAGATCAACAAGAGGGTTTACTTCCAGTGGCTTTTTACAATTGAAGCAGACAAAACACGCGTTGTGCCACTTATTGTTTGCATGTTCAATCCACGAGTCATGTTCAGAGATAGGCTCATTGCAAGCAGGGCTATACGTTATATGGTTAATCTATAGTAAAGACCAGTTTTGCTATTGTCTTACCATTGGCCCTTATTGTACAACTTGAGATGACATTGTCTACAATAGGGAACGCCATCCTCTAATATGGTTGTATAGTCCAATGCCTTACTACAGCAACTGCACACTTTCTTGTTTGTATAAAAGGCAGACTGAGCCGTGGGTATCCTTTTGGCGTTTAAGTGGCTTTTTTTGATTATTTCTTCTGGCGCAAGTATCGTATCAGCATATCTAAACAGTGTTAGTAAACAGCCTTTTTTTATTATTAACGGAAAAACATACTGAGACTGCCATTTGTCTATTATGGACATTCCTCCTGCTTCAGCTACCAGACAGCTTATAGTTGACTCTACTGGTCTTCCACCACATTTAACGCACTTTCCTCGAGTTATTTCACCGCAGCGATGACAAAATCCCATTTTTAATAATTAAAAAAGTGAGAAATAAAGGGAAATAGAAAACGGACTCATTATAATCAAAACAAGTGTAAACAAATACTAGTTTTATACAAAAAGATATTCTTGCTTCTTAAAAGGAAATAAATTTAACACTCCGTTTTGGTATAAACTCAATTTGCCAAAAAAAAAAAAGTGAGTCCCTTAAAAAGAGCTCTATTATCATAATGACTTTAACGATGTTAGTAACCTTGATGATCTAAGTGAATATTCTATATGAAATAAGTTTCAGTCATGTAATTTGAAAGTAGAAAAAAACGTAAGTGATAAAGATTGATTAACTTGTTAATTATACTATGGTTTATTAAAAGACGACAAGTATAAGTTTAAGTGGCTCCTTTGTGCATATGGTAAATCAATGAGTTACAGGTATATAGTAAATATATAAACAATCGTTATATTAATGACCGTTTTTCTATAGACGTCCTGCATTGAAGCTGATTCAAAATTTTAGCTTCATTAATAGTTGATGCCTAGTGAGTATCTCAGCTTTATATCCCATATAAACTACGATTTTCTTCAAGTTCCTATGATTTCTATATTAAAGAGTGATTGATAACATTGTATTCTTTATTTTATTTTACTTTACTTTTGCTTACTTCACAAAATCATATACATCTCCTGGGTTTGTGCTTAATCCAGGAAGAGAGATGACCACCAATCTAACTTTTTTATCAGACATTCTAATAAATAAATTAATATGCTCACTTTTCAAGTACTAAACATATTATTTACCCTGACAATCACCATGTGAACTCTCGATTTTAATTGCCTTTTTCTTTGGGAAACACTACATGCAATAGAAAATGTACCAGAAGTTAGACTAATTCTACGTGCGCTACCTCTTCCCACAACCTATGATGCAGCCCAACAAACCTTTTGAGTGTGCATCACCAAGCTAAACATGATTTTATAAAGCCATCATCTTGGTTTATTTCTTTTAAAGAAGAAGAAGGAGATAAAAAGAAATGTTTTTATTTTAATATTATGCTTTCAGTTTGATCAACAAAAACCACTTATGATAGATTTGTATTTACATTATTTATCTTCTGTTATGATATCCGCATTGGCGTCTACACTAGAGAAGGCGTATTTGCATAAAGCTCTAGTTTTTAATTTATATGCTTGAAGAGAAAGAAACTTTTGTTTTGCAGTTGTTGATTCAACTGTGTTGGATTTGCGGACATAACCAACAGTAACATATTGTGGCGGTACTGTTCTAACAAGGTATCTAAATTGATTGATATTGCTAATGTCTTTCCACTTAAAGTTTCTCAAGCTAGCCTTCACCACGTTGTACGTTCTACCTCTTATCCAGTTGTCTTTATCTCCTTTTTGCTTAGTGCCTCCTCAAGGCCCATCTTTACCTATAAGTTCGTTTAATTTGTTTTGATTAATGATCTTCTTCACAGAGAATACACGCCACCGGAACTTAAGCTAGTGTCAATAGACGAGACTCCCATAAAAGGTGAGCTGTATGTGAGAAGATATCAGAGATCATCGTGGTGACATTGCATACAGAGAATACCTAGTCAAATGGGCAGGTTATGGTGAAAGAGCCAACACATGGGAGCCTGTAGTATTTGTAGTTGTTGTAGTAGTAGCGAGAACAAACAAAAATTACAATGGGGCTTTTTATGTTTCTTTTATTAGGAAGAATAAAGATGAAGACATTAAAATTGATTGTCGCACGTTATTTATGTATTTGTAGTTATTATTGTGATTGGTCAGTTTATGTTACTGAGCTTTTGTTATTGATATGTAGACACTGCTTATTGACCCTTATTCAACGTGGAATACGACAGATCCTTACGAGAGTTTTACTGACCCATCAACTATTGACTAATATTGACAAAAGAAATCATCTAATATACAAGGTCGTAATCAATCACCCCCCTTTATCATCATAATGAAATTCATAAATGAGCTCTCTCCCTTTTTATTAATCTTCTTCAACAGCCTTTTTTAAGGGCTGAACGCCAGTTTCTACAAATTGTTGATCTTCAGCAACACTTTCTGATGGTTCCTCTTCGGTCATTGTAGTCAAGAAGAATTCAGCAATCTTTTCATGGTTTCTTTGCTGTGCTTCATAGATAGGTGAATGGTTCATGGCATTTTTAACCTATGATATATTAGTTATATGCTCTTTTAAACAAAAAATTATGCTTACTGTGCAGTCAGCGCCGGCGTTCACTAAGGCTTCAACCACTTCATAGTGGCCGTTGAGTGCTGCCCAGTGAAGTGGTGTATTTCCTTCTTCGTTTTGTACGTTGATCAGCTTTTTCTTCTCTTGTAAGCTTGAGATTTGTTCAATAATGTACTTTACAATGTCTAATGTAATATAGTTAGCTAATAAACGCCAGAACAATAAATGAGCTACAATAAATTACCCAGGTGATTATTGGCACTTGCCATATGAAGTGCAGTTTTGCCTGTATCGTCCTTTTCAACCAACATATTAGGTTCTGTTTTACATTGCTTGAGATCTTCTAGCTCTCCAGCACGAGCAAAGTAGATGATATCGTCGAGTAATTCTTGATGATCTGCCATTGATGAAATCAAAATAACCTCTCTGTCGCTTCTTTCCAAGAGGCTTTTTTTTTGACGTGTCAGTTTCAGATTCCGACAAATTATTCTAGATGAACATTTTAGGCAGCTCCGTACTTTTCTAACCAAATGAAACAGTATCGTCAGGTAAATAGTAAAGAACAATGGTTCAACTCTTTTATCAAGATAATCTAACCATATTGAATAAGAGTCTTTAAAGTAAGCAAACAACAAAAAGGTTAGTAAAATATTATACATTCTGTTTTAAAAAGCGATATGCAAATGTTTATTCAATATGTACAAATCTAAAAAGTTCATATACAGTTCTATATTGTTTCTTCTTCTGAATTATCATCAATGTATTCATCAGAGTCGCTATCAACTGGTTGATGGAATTCACCAACGATATTATAACAGTCTCTTACGTCAAAGTGCTTCAATTTTTTACAGCCGTCCAATAGGGCCTTAATGCCTACTTCTGTGACATGATCGCATGAGGAAAGATAAATTCGTTCGAGGTGAACGAGATGTTTGGCTATTAAAAATAATGATTTGTCTCTGATATGCGTTGAGCTTAAACCAAGTTCGACAATAAACGGACAGCTATTCACAATGGCTTCTACTGCAACATCACCAAGTAGCAAACAGTCGTCTAAGCCAAGTATTCGTAAATCTCCAAGTGGTTTTATTATTTCTCTGAGTGCGTTATTTGATCTATGATATAAGAAAGAAATGTAAGCCAATGTTGTCTATTGAATATATTATTTTACAATTCAACACAAAAATCAAGATTGAGGACTTGAAGATTACGTGTCTTGCATGTTAATTGCGTCAATAATACAGCAGTGATCGACTTCCACCGATGAACCAGCATGTGTAAATCCAACTCGTAGACAAATGAGCCTACCTCTGGTGTCAAGTTTGCAACAAACGATTTAAAGGAATCCATCTTTTCAAAGTGAGGCGAGCGATATAGCATAGGCAATGCTGCTTTATGCATTGTCTTTGATGTTGATACCAATTGACCAAGTGAATATTGCTCATCTTTTAAATGAGAGACGATGTCTGTTAGAATTTCAAAAGGTAATCTTTTATCCATTATAATAAAAATAAAACTTTATTCTTCATCTTCAAAAATTTCCTTATAATTCTCCAAGATAGACTGCACCACTTTAGCCTGTAGCTGTGACTCAGCTATCTGTGTTTGCGAACCTGCATCACTGCTCATCAGTGTCAAACCAAATATGGTAGCTAAATTGGCAGCACCCATCTTGTTAAATCGCTGATATGATTGTACTCTATGATTTGTATATAAGAAAACATGTCTAGTTTATGAGCAAAAAGACTTACTTGTAAAGATGGCACATCAGATATTTCAAGGTGGCATAGTGTGCATCTGATAGCTCATTAATAGCTGTATGTAATGCAATCAATCTGGCCCTGTCATCGGGTAATTCTACATTACTGTTAGTCCATGTTTTGGTATCAATATATTACTTTACTTGCTGCATCTAAAAACTGTTGATAAGACTGTCTAGGGAAGAGTGGATTTGGAAGTTCTCTAAACCAGAGCTTTAATACACCTGTGATATTATTAATATCTGATAGATCTTCTTCAGATATAGGGTTGGGATCTCCACTTTCAAACTTCATCTTTATCCTTTGTATTTTGCTACTTGTGCCAGACAGTCTATATATACCAACCGAACTAAGAGCATACTCTTCTACCACAGTGGCACATCGCTTCAGGATATCTGGCACCATGTCGGGCGCAGATTCTGCAAGTTTTTCAAGACTGACACCAAAGACGCGTGGATTTGTGTAGCTGCTACTAACAGATGCCTATAGTAATGTTAGCTATGATATAGTAAGAGATAATTAAAAAGACGTTATACCATATAATCCTGTGCTAGATATTCGCTCTTTTGCACACGCCCACTACGTTCTGCACATAATCTAACAAATTCTGCCCAATCTGCATCTTTATCAATCTTGCCTATTAAACTTCTCAATCCCTTTCCTATTACACGCTTATTATTATTGTAGCATATAGTGTTTTATTTACTTGCCTTGATCATTGTCTAATGCAAGTCCATCCTCTGTTAAAGCTTGCTCAAATGTATAAGCGTAACTTGCCAATTGATATCGCAGAGCAATACTACATTCATCATCTACTGCTTTCAATTCCTAATTCATAGAATAAGGTCTTTTTTTCACGTCTGTTATACACTAGATACTTACAGATAACACTTTGGGAAGGTGTGTCTCATAATATTCAGTATGTGCCTGAATTGTTTTCTTTTGCTGTAGTTTATATTGTGTATCAGCAGCATCCATCTTACTTCTACAATCACTTTCATTTCTATCCAACTATTTAAACGTGTAAAGATATGGATGGACGCACTTGCGTTCAGCATTTACCTGAGCAGCCGTTCGACTAGATCTAAACAAATTCTTTTTACCAGGGTTGGTTGGTTCTTGATTTCTCTGCGAAACAGCCTTCCCCCACTCTTCATTGGTTGCTTCAAATTTCTGTTTACTCTTTTCTAATTGTATATCTGCTTCCTGTACTTGTTTTTCATAATGTATTCCCGTGTCTTTGATTTTCTTTCTATCCTTTTCGATATGCTTTGATAGTGATAACAAGTCCTCTGCTGACTCTGTAATTGATGTGGCAAATCGAATACGCTGATTACCAATGGTTTCATGCACTTTCAAAATAGAAATCCAGACATCGCCAAAAGTGCTATATAATAAAGTCAATAAAGAAGTACTCTTTTGGTTATTCTATTTACCCTGATTTAGGATGCGATTTATCAAATGCTTCTGCTGTCTGTTGAGCGATCTTTATCATGTCTCTACCATAACTTTCTTCTAAAAATGCTCTCTTTTTCAAAAAGGCAGCAATATCCTATTTGATGATGAATAAATATCCTTTACTTAGTTATCAAAAAGCTTACTTTTGTCATTTGTGTATTATTCTTGACTTTTTCTAATAGTGCTTGTAAGCCACCCTACTGAGGTATGAATTAAAATATTCACCTATACACGCGCATAACTCCTCTTTTGTTCCCTCCCAATTCTTACTTCTATCTCAGCCATTTGCAGTATAAGGTCATTATATTGACTTTCAATTGTGTCCACTGTCATCATTTATTAATATATATTGTATAAAAGAAAAAAGGAAAAGAATGAAAATAGATTAAATAAAAAAAAGAAGGGGGGAGACACAATAGGGAGAAGAAGGGAGATAGAGAGAGAGGGAGAAGTGATGATTTAGGATTGTTTGTTATACAATAGCATTTCCTTTTTTGAACTTAAAAAATGCAAAATACCAAAAATGTAGGCAGTTTACAATGGCCAATGCTTCATCCAACTCTCATGTCTTTCTTGATCAAACATCATTTCTCTCTTTGTTTCAACTGACAACTTGAACTCTTGATTATTCTTTTTACCAACGCGATAGACAGTATCTTCCTTTAGATCTTCAATTTCATCCAACTCATTATGTTCAGCTTCTGGTCCAAATGCTGATACCCATTGTAGCTTTTCGGTATCAAAGATCATATTGTTTACAATCACTGAAGTATATTTACTTGTCTGTTGGCGGTTGGAGATCAACATGGGTCGACGAATACTTGTCTTGTCTTGAAATGCTAATAATGCCTTTTCGTTGCCTTGCCAACTTTGACTCTTTTCATCAAAAGTCATGCCGTTGCATTCTATGATATAACGTCAATAACATTAATAACCATTATGACGTTTTACCCTTTTTTATATCTTGATCATTAGGCTTTATTAGCTTAATTTTGCTTTGATTCGTTTTCTGTAGAGATGAGGATGAGTATATGACCACAAAAACAAGTTTGCTTACTATCATGTTTTTTCGCCAAGGACGCTCAGGGTCCATCTCATTTTCACCCTTGGGATGCTTTGCAGGTAAAACGTACTTCTTTTTGCTCTTTAAAGTGTTTAGGTTATCAAGTTCATCCAGTTGAAAGCAATATCCATATGCCTTGCTAGATTTGGGTTTGGACAATAAAAGGACACCATTGGCGCTTCTCTTTTCAACCATGGGCAGTTCCACTTTTTGTTTTGGCTTCAGTTTTTGAGATTGAGCGCGTGTTTCTGCCTCTCGCCTGCGAGAAGCAGCTGTACCAAGAGCATATCGATACCTTTCTATGGGTAATTTCTGAAGCGGTTGTTCAGGTTGATGAAGCTGCAATGGCTTCAACTGAGGGATTCGAGACTGATGTATTGGCTTCTGTCTGGCCATGGGATGTGAAGCCAGAGTCTTTTTTTGTTTACCAAGATGAAAGTCTTTGATATTCAATCCATTACAAAAGTCATCATCATCACGTTCACGTTCAACTGAGGCCAGGATCTTTGATTTGGGTTGCTGAGTGGTTTCTTGCTGACATTGGTACACTTCAATACCCTTTTTCTTTTCATTCAACTTTTTTGGGAGCAGCGCCATGTCAGGAGGAAAATCAAGCCCACTGAGTTCATCATGATCTGATTCTGGTTCACATAGATAAATGTTGCTGTTACTCTGGTTAAAGGAACTAGTTGTTGAGCCTTGATCAGGTGTTGGCTCAACTACAAGCTGAGGATCATAGACACGGTCCCTAAACCCTTTCATTTTCGAAGGTACAATCTCGACATCTTCGTCCCAGTCATTATAGTCTTGTATATGTCTTGACCTGTTACCCAGCCTTTGGACTACGCCCGTCATTGATTGTTGGTCAGCATACATAAAGTCATCTAAACCCTGGATCACTGATATATTATCCGTGGCTACAGAGTAAGTGTTTGTCGAAAGTATGCTACTGCTTGTTTCACTTTCATCATCATCCAGATATTCTTGTGCATACATTTGGTATCTGTATCTTTCACAAGCAATACTCAACTCTTTGTCAGGTTCCATCGTATAAACTCCTTTACGTTGAAATACTTTTGCATCAGAAAAAGCTATATCCAGTTCCCAGTCATCGTCTTGAAGCATTTCCATTGTTTAATGATATACAAGAAAGAAGAAAGAAAACAAAAGAGCAAAGAAAGGAAGGAGGTAAGAACATATAGATCTAACAATAATGACCCATATCTTTTTCCATATAAATAATGATAATAATAACGCTTCATTGTTGTCAATCATTTATACATTCAATACTATTTTTATTCCAAATATCAATTTTAGTTCTCTTTTTCAAATTGGCTAAGATACTTTTCCAAATCAAAATCAGGGCTGTCAACATCAACTAATGAACAATTAAGTAACATGACATTTTTTATTATTATTTTACTTACTGGTGGCAGTAGTAATAGGAGTAGCAGCAGCAGCGGTTGAACTGGCGTGTTGTTTAGCATAAGCAATTCTTGCTTGTTCAATCAAGAGTTCTTTGCGGTGGTATTCAGCTTCGATCTTCTTTTGTTCAGCTTGCTTTTGTAAGCTAATGTTGTGAGTATAGCCATAAAAGAGACCGAAGGCTAAAGCAGACCAACGTCCAACCTATGAGCATCATGCCGATTGTTGTCAGTTGCCAATCTTTACTTATTTTTTCTTTTTTTTTTTATCTTCGGCTTACGTTTGCAACAGCACTGTTAACCATATTCTTTTCTAGGGATAAAGAGAGGGAGAGAGAGAGGAAGCCCAGGGGAAGCGAAAAAAAGAAAAAGTATAAAAAATGATTAATCTGAGATTAAAGATGTGAGTGTCGTCATCAGTCCTTTCAGTTCAATCTTTCGCTGTGAATAGACAGGTTGTACTGAGAAATGAATCATGCATCAAATAATCATTGTGAAAGGCTTGTGGAAACAAAACTCAGGCAACGGGTCTTGACACTGGACAACATTTTGCCCTTTGAAAGAAAGACAGGATATATATATCTGGCTAGGGGTTTATTTTTGGGGAATAGCAAAGAATATTAAGCTACAGAATGAACTCATCTGTTCTCTATCAGAATTGGTATATTCTAACAAACTCAATTGCTAGTAACTGAGGCAGATTCTAATAGCAATAATTAAACTATGGCGACATATAATTTTGGTAAGTCTTCAGGAAATTGAATTAAATATTTCTTCCCCCTTGATTATTTTGTTTCTACACATCGATCCCTCCTTTTTTTATGAAAATGTCTGTGCACTTGCAGTCTACAGATTTAATATTCGAGTTTAATTATTCCATAATGATGCTAGTCCTTGAAACTTGATAAATAAAACAAAGACGAACTTGTCATCAAACGCAATCATGGACATGGTTGAATATAAAAGTAGTGTAAAGTAATGAAAGCCATGCCCTGAGTGAAAGAAATTTCCAAACAGTTAAAGTTCCACTGAAATCAAACCCAGATATTCTCGCAAGTCACAGTTTGCTATCTCAAAAACAATTCTTTTTTCAACCATGACCAAATCGATTTAGGCCAAAGGCTTCATAACAATACAGTTAGCCGCAGAGAATCAAAAAGAAGGTTATTCAAGTTGAAACAACAAGATAAAAAGCAACTTGAGATTTTTCTTCAAGAAAATGCAATTTAAAACCTGCTATAAAAGAAAATGAAGATATCAAAGAAGGGTTTAGTTTCATAATTGAACAAAGAGGATTTTTAAAGCAATGGTATAAAAGAGGGCTAGTACTGCTTGAGAAGATAGCAATGTTATCCAGAAGAGCATATCTTTTAGTCTTATACATCACTCGTGTACACTCGAACCGTTCGCATATGCAATCACGGATTTTCAATGCTTGCGTTCACGGCCAATATTCCCATCCTACTTTGTTATTGAATAGTTTTAACTCACGAATTATCAGCATAAAATCATGAAAGTGGTCATTGGAATGGCACTGGCCAGCGAATTGTTCAATTTCTGCACGCTAAATGACCCGAGGGTTTTACAGTGTTACAATAAGCTTACATTTGTGACAATGCTTAAGCTAATTCTTGGAAGGTAAAGGTTTACAAAAATATATCCTCATGGTTGAAGAAAGTATCAAAATATATTTTTTGTAGCTGCGAATAGATACGCCATCCTAATCTTTCCATTTCAAAGTTCTTCATCAGGTTGATTTCTCTCTCTACGTGTGTGTAATTTGATAAACTTTAACTTATTATAGTGTATGTATTCATGGCAACAGGGTGGGGTCATTTTGTAATCATTTCAAAGCATCCAAATGTTACATGATTATTATAAACTTCTTCTTTTTCCAAATTTAAAAAATCTGTTCCACCAAACACGACCCTTGATAAATAAAAGATAAACCATATTTTAATATTGGCCATATCCTTGTCTTTTTCTTTGTCCTTCTTTGGTGTAAGCAATGTGATGTAGAGGCTATATCCTTGAGTAAAGCGGGGAAAGAGGGAAGCTAGTGGTTATCAGCAACTGCCTTTTATGGCATAAAGTTCTCTTGATAAAAAAATTTGTATGGTTACTCAAACTTTATCGTGGCTGTCGGACATTTTAATGAACCAATACCTGTTACCCAAACAAACCCGAATCAGTCCTTTTTTTTTTTTGTATAAAAATTAAATCGGATGCTCATACCTTGTTATTGAAGCCTCTTTTCTTTCCATAAAAAAAATGACTTGGGTGGATAGACTGAATGACTATGTTGCTCATTCAAGAGTAGGCAAATACTTTCAGTTGGATCACTCAGGTGCCAGACGTGAGCGAAAAGGAACAAAGTTTACAACAGAAATTAGAGCTGGTTTAACCACCTTTTTTGCCATGGTAACATACAATAGCAACACTAAACTGAACACATTAATTCATTATTATCATATAGGCTTATATTATTTCAGTCAATGCTTCGATCATCAGTAGCAGTGGAGGCACTTGTGTTTGTAACCCAACGGAAGCAGACCCTGTCTGTGACAACAACCAAGAATACATGGATTGTGTGTACCAAGTTAAATTGGATTTGATTATGGGCACAACCATCATTGCCATGATCTCTAGTATCTTGATCGGCGTTTTTGCAAACCTTCCTCTTGGTATGGCCCCTGGTATGGGCCTCAATGCTTATTTTACTTATACTGTTGTTGGATACCACGGATCTGGCAAGGTTTCTTATGAAACTGCTTTAGCCGCCGTATTTATTGAAGGTATCATCTTTTTTGTTCTCTCTATCCTTGGTATTCGCCAATGGCTAGCCCGAATTATTCCTATGAGTATCAAAATTGCTATGGGTTGTGGTATCGGTCTCTATCTCTGTTTCATCGGCCTTCAATCTTCCGCCGGTATTGGACTTGTCACTCTAGATAAATCCACTTTGGTCACTCTTGGCGGTTGTCCCTTGGGTGCATTTGACGCGGATGGTGTCTGTCAATGGGGTCATATGACCAATGGCACAACGTACATGGGTATTCTTGGTTTAGTTATCATGAGCATCCTTCTCTTATACAGAGTGCGTGGTGCCATCCTTATATCCATCGTCTTTATTGCTATCACATCTTGGCCTCGTAACAACGCAGTCACTTATTTCCCTTACACTCAGCAAGGTGACATGATGTTCAACTACTTCAAGAACGTTGTTTCCGTCCACGGTATGAAGCATGTTCTCGGCAAGTTCAATTTTGACTTGAGTGGAAAAGATATCTGGATTGCTTTGATCACTTTCCTTTACGTTGATATCATGGATACTACAGGCACAATGTACTCCATGGCCAATTATGGTGGCTTCACTGATAAAGCTGGTGATTTTGAACACTCTACATTTGCCTTCATGTGTGATGCTGCATCTATCACCATTGGTTCCTGCTTTGGTAGCTCTCCTTGTACTGCCTTTGTCGAATCAGGTGCTGGTATTGCTGAAGGCGGGCGAACTGGTATTACCGCCATTGCCATTGCCTTTGGCTTCTTCATTTCTGTCTTCTTCTCTCCCATCTTTGCCAGCTTCCCTCCCTGGTCTACAGGCCCTGCTCTTATCGTTGTTGGCTCCATGATGCTTTCAGGTGTCCGTAACATCAATTGGGATTACCCTGGTGATGCTATCCCTGCCTTCATCACCTTGGCCGTCATGCCCTTCACTTACTCTATTGCTTATGGTGTTATTGGTGGCATTCTCTCTTATGTTGTCATCAATGGATTCGTCTATCTGGTCGATAAGATCTCTCGTGGCTACATTCGACCTGATTACTCATTACGTGAAGACTGGTGGACCGCTGCTCTTTCTCGTCCTTTCTTGCCTACTTGGATCCGTTTCTTGATCGCAAAGGCTAGAGGCCAAGAATTCAATTGGCACCAAGATGAATATGAATTTGAAGATGATGAATTCCAGCGTCCTCAAGTCATTTCTGATCCTGTCATGGAAAAAAATAGCTCTCAGCAGATGATTGTTGATAGCATCAGTGGACACAGTCTGAATGAAACCGCAAGTATTCCCGGCAGAGGCTATAATGAAAAGATGTAAATTTATTCTCTCTTTCTTTCATATCTATCTAGTACAATATAGAAACTATTTAATAATTTAAAATAAACATATACAATACTATTTCTAGTCCATGCTTGGACACATTATCATAGATAATAATCATCTCGGACAGTTATCCATTGACAAAAATTTATAATATCATAAAAGATTTCAGATGATAAATTAACTCAGTACCATTCTTGTTGCATCAATGTTCAGCATGGTTCAATAGATAAACAAATTGCTTAATCTGCTGTAGATTAAATATATAAGCAATAGTCCTGACTAGATTGAACCAAGCTTTGACTTTTTACATGATAGTATCAGAATGCAATAAGATGTCTTGTTCAACTAGGATTATCAAAACAAGTAAGCTAAAGGAGCATTTTTATTCCACAATATTCTGTACAATCAATATGTTTAACTTAAATAAACGTGTCTGAGTAAAGTAAACCATCAGTTCTGCTGCTTTATCCAACAAAATTTCAGGATATGCAAAATTAAATTGTACTTTCAATGTAGCGATTTATCGATTCTTAGGGAGAAATAGTGTGTATTTTACAACAAACTATGACTCCTGAGTCAGTATGAAGCATCTTTAGTTTTATATACAATATAGGCTACAAAAGAAAGAAGCTTGGGATGATTTAAAGTTAGAAAATATGATAAAAGATGTATATACGGCAGTAGCAATATGATAGCTCTCGAGTGCAATGAAGTAGCCTTAGTCATGATACCTTTTTACATTGCTCGTTTGATATCACGTAATAAAAATGTATACTACGAATATTGTCTAGTCTGTAATTAGCAAACGCGTTCAAAGCGGTGTCTGAATGTGTGCATGATCAAAGAGTGCCACGGACCATCTTCATGTTGCCTCTGTTCACTCTTCCCAAAAGATGCTTATAGAAGAAGAGAACGGGCTAGCGTAAAGTTAAAGAGAAAATTATCAAGTGTTTTCTTCATTATTAAAACACATGAAGGAAGCATAAACTTACAATGTCAAAGTATTCATTGTCATGATTAACATATGAACAACAACAGCTGTTGACTATATGAAAATTTCAATTAGGTAGCTCATTACATACATCTTGAAATTCTCTTGTAGTAAGCAGACAGTCACAGAAAATATAAGAAGAGTATAATCAAGCGAAGGGGCGATATAGCTACAGAACAGGAAAAATGGTTGAGAAATATTATATAAATAGAAGTGTTATTGGAATTGTTGGTGAAGAATATGATCAACCTTAGCCATAGAGCGTCGTGCAGTACCTGATACGAGTTTAGCTAAATTTTCAGAGTTATTCTAGAAGCAACGCACCCATTTAATTATTATGTCTTATTTTAGAATATCAAAACAATGAACTAATTTCTATTAAACTAAGCAGGACAATGGTCATTTAGCAATATCGAACACTATCCAACGCATATACAACCCATAAACAAAAGTGTGCTACAGGATATACAAGAAATTTGCTTAAAAGCCATTTTAAAATATATTCAAGTTCACGTTATCATAAACAACTACCTAATTCTTAAAATTTGAGCGACCTCCTTTGAAAAACATACTGAAAAACACTTTACTGTCAATAAATAAGGATTTAGAAGGAATTATGCAAAAGGAAAAGATAAAGTTATTAAAAAAAAATGTAAATTGCAAAAGAATAGCTTGTAGTAGCTGATCAAAGATAGAGAGAGCTAGTTAATGATACTCTGTTATTATCTTAAAATTTAATACAAGCTTCTACATATTTCACATCTTTGTAGCTTGTCAAGTTCGAATTATTAGCAATAATCATTTCTTAGAGCACTAAAGTGCCTCAAGTGACTCTTTTTTTTTTGAAATAATATCACTTGACACATAAACAAAAAATAGTTTGCCTAAGAATCTTACCAGAAATGTTATAATTATGCTTATCGGTTTATGAATTTGCTACATGTGCTACTAACGAAAGCTTTTCCCAAATAAGCAAACCTCACGGTTGAAAACAAAAAAAAAAAAAAAAAAAAGGAAGCACAAGTTCTACATGCAATCGCATCATGGCAGTTCATCTTTGTTGATCAAAGAACATAATAATTATCAATTATGAAATAAACGTAAAGAATATGTTGATGCATCCATAACTGAATGAAAGGAATTGCATTAAGCAAGAAATGAAAAGGAAAA